TTTAGTATATATTACTTTAGGTTATGCTTTACAAAATTATATTTTGTTACATCATTTTTCTTATTTATTCCAAGGTCTCTGATTGGCTCAAACTTGATCACATGATCAAATATATACATTGTAACAGCATATAGACATGTTCTGAAGTGCATATCAACTTGATGTTTCTAAAATTGGAAAATGGAAATAATTTTCTGTAAAACAACAATAGTGCTGATTTCACAGTAGCTAATACAGTGTATGACTTGATGTTTCTGAAAAAATATATACTTCAACTCCTATTTATAATTGTGATGTTCTGTAATAATTGGTTAGGCGTAACAATTCCTTGAATTTTCATAAGGAAACGTTAAAACATGTAGCCTTTAAGATTAGTAATTTCCCTAAATTACACTATTAGTATAAAGGAAACGCAATTACATTAAATATTTCTCAGTGTTAAAAAAAGACAAGAGAGAAAATTTGTGGCTCGCTCCCATTATTTTCAAATTTTGTTGTGTCAATCCCTCTAAAAAAAGATATAACAAATGTAGCCTTTTAATACGGTCAATCCATAGGTATACCAACTTCACCGAAAAGCATATCGACCTCGCACTTCGTGCTCGGTCGATGTAATTTTCTGTGAAGCTGATATATCAATGGATCGACTTCATGAAAGGGCTATATTTATATAATGTTTAATTTCTGCCGACGTGACTTTAGTTACTTAATGTTTACATCCCTGCGATATACAGGGACTGTGTTACTATAATATTGTCAGTAATAGAAAATGTGAAGGAATAAGTTGGGCCTATCATTTCTTGCCTGGCAATCTCAGTATAGGTTTACCATTGTACTGGGATTAATTACAAAATAAGTGTAAACTGATTAATAATGATTTATAAATAACAATTTAAAAGCATACTTAAATACTTCAATCGTCTACACACCCGTTGTGAAATTTATGGCTTGTAAGTGTATTATGAATGATAGTTTAATACATAGCATGTAATGCCAAAGAATAGGTATAACGACCGGTAAACTTAGTGGCCCCAAAGAGGAAATGACGCCAAAAGGACAGCACCATCAGACTTACGAAGAAACTATATATTGCGTCACCAAGTCAATAAAGTAAATTTTTGTCTGTCTGTAGTTTAGATTTTAATCAAACAATTGCCTAATGTTTCTCATTCTTTGTTACGTATGTTTTTCTAATGACGGCCCGCGGTGAAGATTTCGTCGCATAGTACGCTCATTACGGCTAACCGACCAAGGAGTAAGCACTTCCAGGCACATAGTCATCCCGCACCAAAACGCTGACAATTTTTTATTCGCTAGCAAATTATGTGTCCAATCAAATGATAGTCACGATTTGCTGCAAAATCTTGATAGTCATGGTTAAATAACTTTCAAAAGTTCAAAAATTTGATGTAGCTTGTAGGACAGTTACTTTTATAAATGTCAGGCATCACAATGAAGTAAATACAGCACTATATCTACGAAACAAACACTGGTAGCAAACTTGTGAAAAAATGTTTGAGACAAAAGGGATAGTTTTAAAGTTTGCGGTATTTTTTCAGACTTTCGGGAGTATTTTAACACTTTTTGTGGAATTAGCTGATATTGGTGCTGTCTTGCTAGATCCACCGGGGCGTGGTTCGCTCTGGAGACACAACATATCAGGGGCACCTGTTAACCTCCAAGACCATCAACTAAACTGCGGAGGGGTTCAGGTAAAAAAAATATATATAGAACTTTAATGCGTCTTTTATGATTACTACCTTTTTTCTTTAAATAAAAAGTATCTGGACGGAGTACTAATACAATATATATATTTTTTTAAGATATAGAAACTTTTTCTTCAGAACTTAAGAGTTACATGAGAAGTTCAAAGTATATATGTAGAAGTAATTAATACATATAGTTTGAAACTTATATTTAATATTTTCTGCGGGTTCCATATAACATTTGCTTCGAATCGAATCGGTATTATTCTCGACAACATAAAAAAACCCATACAATTGTGTTGTCTTGAATGATAGTAACCTAAAAGAAAAAAGAGGTAATTCAGCGACCGTTTGATTTTTGTTGATTCATCATAGAAATTTATCCAGGTGTGTTTTCCATACCCTCTGACCGCGGTATGGTCAACGCAGATGACCGCGGGGGCTACAGGCGCTAAAATGTGATTTTTGCGGCGCTTATCAGCTTCCATCTCTTACAAGTTCGATCCTGGACAATTGCTAATAATTGGTGAGGTCGCAATTTATTTCTACATTAAAATCCGACACAGTGACCCATTTGCCACTAGACTTGATATATTTTCTAGATTTTTTGGGATTATATATATATATATATATATATATATATATATATATATATATATATATATATATATATATATATATATATATATATATATATATTCAAATTTTGATAAGTTTGAGAAATTTTAAAAATTACTTACTCGACCCGATATGTATACATGTATATGGAACCAACATATTCGAAATATCAACCCAGTTAGCACAACAATGTTATTAAAACGTTATAAAAACGTTATGAAAATGTTATGAAAACATTTTCTAAAACGTTATTACAACGTTATATTGTGTGGTTTTTTAACGTTATTATAACGTTTTGCATAAACATTGTACTCTAATGTTTTAAAAACATTTTCAAAAACGTTTTAAGAACATTTTTTAAAGCGTTTTTAAAACATTTAAAAAATCAATTTTACAACATAAAAAACAATATATTTCTTATAATTTAATAAATTTAAATCCATTCATTAATTTTGTCTAAACCCTTTTTTTATCACTTGCACAATAAAATTACAGTCTTCCTTCAAATGAAATTTGTACTGTTTGAAATACGAAAAGATCACAGCATCCTTATTCCATTAGAAATTAATCTGTTGTACACTTGGACTTCTCTATTTTCTTCTGAAAAACAAAGAATTGGACATAAAACTTTGACTAAATGATTACCCATTCATACTCGTACATTTCTTTTTAGTTAAACATATCCATGTATTAGGGCATCTGACAACTAAGTATACTTACTAGTATATACAAATCTGATAAACACAAAGAAAGTATGTTTTGGTATACAGTTGTATTAATAAACAAAAAATTACAGGTGTAAATATATCTATATAATTTTGACAACCAACTTTAAACATACCTTATCATATTTCCAGGAAGGTATGGATCAAACCTCTTCATCCCACCTCCCATTAAATCGTAAGAGGTTGTCTTTGATGCTTTGTAAGCCTTGTAAGCAGCAGCTATTAAAATGGAATGTGAAATTCATTATAAGAAATGTAAATAAGTAAATGTATAAACATATTTAACAAAGGCGTCGGAAGCAAATTAAAAGGGGGGGGGGTAACCAACAAAAACATTTGGGGGGGGGGAGTAAGCCCGAATTTTCACTAACTCTGTTATATCAATCTTTACAAAAAAATGTGTGTGTGTGTGTGGGGGGGGGGGGGGTAAGCACCCCCTAGACCCCCGGTTCCGACGCCTATGTTTAATAGTTAAATGAAAACAGCACAGCATTACTACATGTAGTATTTAGATCATTTTGCTTTTGCTGTATACATTTTCCAATGATTTATAAGTTGATATGTTAACTGAATCTTAATGCATTTTCTTAGCATTAATGGTGATAAAACTTACTCTTAATGATTCTTTAAAAGGGTGCACTTTTCAACCCTCTGTCCAGTCTCAGTGAACTGACCCATGCAATTTGTTTGTATCATTGTCCTCATATATCTCCACCCTGCATTGAAACCATTGCATTCATCTAAAATGAGTGTTATATTTTATCATGAAGAATGAGGATTTCAAAATCTTTGACTGCTAGCAAATATATAATCAAGCCTGAGATTGATTAATTAATTCCTCTCCTTTCCCTTCCAAAAGAAAATAGGTTTAACGTGGCATTGTATTCTGTTATACATAACACAAATTCGGAAAAATCTAACAAATACAGAATGAATACTATTTAAAATAAATGACTCCACTGAATTATTTAATTCAGGAACTTTGTTGAACAAATAATTTTTTAGAATTTTATTTTTACTCTACTTGTTATATATAAATATATTTTACAATGGTATAAAAGATAAACATGAACACATTTCCGTGTTGTTGTTTTTTCTTCTTTTTTTTTTTAATTTTTGGGGGTCTAAATTTTATTATCACAACTCAAAATCAATCATAACTCAAACTTTGGAGCTATTTATAAGAAAACAGAAGTTTTATATATATACATGTAACGTCTTACACTAAATAATTAAAAACTTCTGATGCTTGGAGTTGGTATGTCTGTAACGTTTTTACAATGTTTTGCAAACATTTTAAGACAATGTTGTATACATGTTGTCTGGTAACATTTGTATTTCATGAAAATTATAATAATTATTACACAAGGTATGAATTTTTTTAATCATGCTATTCAATTTATAGCTACACGATATATACTTTATCATTATAGAAATGTTAAATGCTAAATGTTTTCTGAAAACCTCCTTGCAACAGGAACAAAATGTTATGAAAACCATTTTTAAAATGATTGTTAAGAACGTTTCCTAATAACGTCTTTACAACCAAAACAAAACGTTTTAAAAACATTTTATAAACGTTTTATTAAAAACGTTTTCAGATAACATCATTACAACGGGAATAAAATGTTATGAAAAGTTTTGTGCTACCTGGGAAAGAGAAAATAAATCGTAGCTACTCATTTGCATGGTTGTTACAGTTTTAAACCCTGTATATCTTTAAAGAGTGACGAAACACTGGTCAATCTTCAATCTCCGGTCATTGCCGCCTGTCCCTGGTCCATCTTGAAAATGTATTCTGACTTTTAATTGTCTATACATTTCATTTGAGTGATCAGCAAAAAAAATTCTTTTTTAGAAAGTATGTAATTCTAAGTTAGAATTTAGCAGATGAACAACTATAATATATTCTGTACAAGTCCTTTCACATTTTGCTTTACAAGGGAGAATAATGACAACTCCCTTCGTCAAGGTAGCGGTCCTTTTTTGTAAAAAGTGAAATCCCCGAAGACTTTGAATTTGCTGCCCTGTCAATACTCTAGTAGAACTTGAGGAATCGTTTCAAAGCAGAAGGCTAGGTTAAAAAAAATTGATTGAACCTAGTTTGGATTCTGATGTATTCATGATATATCACATTCGGATGTTCTCGGGAAATGACAATCTCTCCCTCGTACACTGACTTCGAAAACGTGTGACGAAAGTTCGTGTCATATTGGTTTTGTTTCCAGTTGCATCTAGGATCTGACTAAAATTGTTGGAGAGTAATGAAATTATTAATAATACTTTCTCTATTTGCTAACGTCAAAATAATTAAGAGCTTACTGGGGTCAAACTTATTAAGTTTATTAAGACATTGTCATCTGAAGTTAATTTTTTATTATAGTTACTATAATAAAAAATTAACTTCAAATGACAATGTCAAAAAATGTTTTAAATTAAGATTTTCGAAAGATTTATTAGATTCCTTTTCACAAGATATTTGTTCAGGAATGAAAAGTTAGTTAAATTTAATGGATTATAGTGATAACAAAAGGCACATTCTTTACATTTAAGCAATCCAACAGAGAAGTAAAACTTTTAATCATGCTTTTCCCACGTTGACTTTTTGTTGATATTTGCATGATCACAAATAATTATATGCAGTAATATTAATGCTGTTATTAGAGAATTTTTGAGAAAAAAAATATAGTTACATTTTAGGTTATTTTTCATCGAATGAATAAAGAATGAACAGTGCCGAATCCTATCAGCTCGTGCATATACATACGATTAGCACATTTCACGTTTAATTAATAGTATTTTATATACAAGTGCATGCTCTTTAATGGATATTTCCTGTTTTCTTTTCAGAATCAATGGGGAAATAACGATGGTAAATGTGGAATATGTGGCGATCCCTGGAATGGACCACGGGATCACGAATTTGGCGGGAAATTTTTCACAAATCACATATCATCTTCATATACAAGAAATTCTGTGATAGACTTAACAGTTAATATTATGTCAAACTCTATAGGATGGATGGAGTTTAGAATTCACCCATATACCAAAAATATTGCGCAAAATCATTTAGATAGGTATTTACTTAAACTTGGAGGTAATCAAACAACAAGATATCGAGTCCGGAGGTCAGGATATCATGTGATACCCGTTTTATTACCGGAATATCTCGAGTGTGAGCGATGTGTCCTTCAATGGAGATACCATACAGGTACTTGTTATGAAGACAAATTGTTTAGAGCTGATAGAAAATTGTCTTATATAAATTATTTAACTTGATACATCATTCCAATGAAGAACAGTCTAAAATCAAATAAATGTAAAGCAATTGATTCTATAAATTTTATACAAAAATATCTAATATTACGACAGGTTCTGTCTGGGGTTGTACTGATAATACCCAGACAGACTGTTGCTATGGCTGCGGACCGGAACAGGAAGAATTCTACAATTGCGCAGACATCTCGGTCACACAGAAGACCGGAACTAGCAATCAACAATCTGTACAGCAACAGGACAACAAACTTAAATTCAAAAGGTTTTTTTTCTAAGTAACATAATTGCTTTATAAATGTCCGTCTTGTATGTTGTTATCGATTTTAGGATGTCTCATTTTTATAATAATGATTAAATGTATTAGTCTTAACATGCCATTTATAATTTACCTTTTTGTCAACTAGGTATTTGCGTTACCTGGAAAGATCTCAAATAAAGCTTTAAATACCAGTGATAATACGTTATAAAATGATAGTAAATGCATCAAATTTTATTAGATTTTATAAAATAAATCAAAATTTGAAATTAACAATGTCTGTATGTTGTGTCATAGATTGCCAGTGACACCCATCACTGATTACCTGAGATGGTGGTGCCTGACTCAGTGTGAAGAGGAGGAATGTAGAGAACCATCATGTTCTACAATCTCCCGCCAACGCAGATCCACAGGTAACTGTTTGGCTGCCGGAGCCTGGAGGGGACAAGCTAACATGGACACGTGGTGTCGGAACAATTGTCAGATAGGTTACTGTCCCGCGTCTCACTGTCAGTGCGAGGGTGAGTAAAACGACACATGCTAGAATAAAATAGTGGACTTCACCTTATATCCTTAGTGATTAATTTATTGTGTGTTTGTGATTTTTAAGATTTGATCCCAGTCACTACGCCTACTACTACAACCACCACGCAATTTACGACAACCGCGTCAACTGAAGATCCCTCGACCACGCATGCGCATTCCTCAACCACCACCACTTCGCAGAATGGTAAATAAACTTTGCAGACCCGTATAAACCGGGGGACCGAGAAGTTTGCCAGTAGATTTTACTTACCGTAGAATAGAAAAATAGCGCCAATTCTCAGTTAACATATAGAAAATCAGTGCTAATTTTGATTGTGACCCACTTTTTATGCTTGTCAAGGAATTTCTGCTGTTCAAGTGAGGTGCCCCAAATCTGATTGATTGATTGATGATTGTTGTTTTACGTCCCGTTCGAGAATTTTTCACTCATATAGAGACGTCATCGTATAACGGCCAAGGGCTTCAAATTTAGTCTTATACACGGCACTCAGGGCCATTGAGCAGTGAGGGTTTTTTTTTATCGTGCCAACACCTACCGTGACACGGGCCTCGGTTTCTAAGGTCTCATCCTAAGGACCCTCCCAAATCTGAAATTGCTTCCCACGTCCTGCTTTAAGGGATCAGAGATTGGGGTTATACTGTTTTCCCCCTTTTTTAAATCTCTTAACATCTTTTTAGGCACATGCACTTGTTTCGTATACAAGGCACGCCCTTCTTTCCCTTTCCATAAAGGAGGGGTTGCCCTGTATACAAAACACGTGCCTGTGCTTTTAGCTAAAAATTTTCTCAAAGACTTCATACTTCAGTAACACAAAGGTAGTCAATAACCAGAGTGTTATGACCAAAGGTCATTTGGAAAATTTATGCCATAAAGACTGGAAATGTAAAATTCTTGTCTCATCCTTAACTCTGTAAAACTTTATTTCTGAAAAACAAGAGGCCAGAGAGCATTAACGTTCACCTGAGTATAATACAACCCTGTAAATGATCCATAGAATGACAATTTTTAAATATATATATAATAAAACAAACATATAGATGAAGATATTTTGCCAAAAATCAAGAGAAATTGGACGAATGGAGATCAACAAAATACATGTAGTTAGGTACTCATCAACAAATCATAAAGTAGATCCTGTATGACGTGCCAGTGTCTCAGGCCGCGGGGGGTGGGTTGGGGGGAGGGGCATGGTCCCAAATTCTTTTTTTTTTGTTCTCCTATACCCGTAGATGCTATATGTTAACATTGGTTGAAATTGGTTCAGCCGTTCCAGAAGAAGCTGAAAACGTTCAAATGTTAACGCACGACTGATTACGCACGACGACTCAGGTGATCTAAAAATGTTAAAAACTCGTACTTGGCATAAAAGAAGGTTATTATAAATGAGGGAAGGTTATAATGAAAGAATGTGTTATAACTCGGAACCAAGAGCGTTTTACAATATCAAGGTCAAATGTGTCCCTTTTACAAATGGGTCGCCCTTGAGACATTTAAGTTTCATGAATACACCTTGTTTATAGAATGAAATAATGATTTTAAAAAAAAGGGTAATTCAATTTCTTTGTAATGGTGTTTTCTTTCGTTCCCCGTAGGAGATGCCCCTGGTATTGTCCGTGTGCTTGTCAGTAGAGGTTGTGAGTACTGTAAGAACAGAAATGATTCCAACTGTGAAGATCTTTACTGCCCTGGATGTAAGCTTAACTAAGATAATTTTTTTCATATTCAGAGAAAATTGTGTTTTAATTTTCCGCATTTTTAAAAAGAACTTCATTTCTTATAAGCGGTATTTATATCTTGATCCATCTGAATTATCCCTAATAATAGCTCAGTATGAAGACAAAGTTTTAGCTATATGTCGTTTGTCGACTTATAATTTTGGACGGATGACCAGTGATAGGCCTAGATCGTCCATAAGTTGTTTTTTTTTAACCAGTGAGCTACACACCTGTATCTGTACAAGTGTAAACTCTACCATTACAACAGATTACATACTTGTATTTTAATAAGAATTAAAACAATTTAAATGGTTTTATACGTGTACAACAAACGTTTCATATCTCATATGTTAGTAAAGGATCAAGCATTCATCAACATGCCAATTCAAAATTTAGAACTGTTAGAAATTTCACGAACTCTATTTTTATTTAAAAAAAAAAAGACAGACCCTTAGGTATAATATTTCAACGGCTTTTCAAAAATCCTTACTCCACCCTCTGTGTAAAGAAAGAGCAATAAATCAGTTAAAGGAAAATTAAAAAAGCGGAAATGTCGATTTTATTCGGAAAAAAAGGAATATTTATTTTAAAAGGTAAAAAGTTGTGTCAATGAAATTCGCCGAAAAAAGGGTTTATACAATACATTAAATGTTTGTAGTTATGAAATAATATATTTATCAAATTTTGCTCATTTATTACAGACAACGCTGTAAATATCGTAAATAAAGGTTAGTGAGATTAGATTTAGGTTTCAGTTGAAATTGTTTATAACATTTTTTAAAAAAAATGATTGTTTGGTTTTTTTCACTTCACTACCAAATTGATGCCAGTTCCTGCGTTTAATATTGAATACGTTTTCCATCAGGAACCCTAACCCAGAAAATAACAGAACTCTCGGATTATTTTTGTACAACGTGTGACAGCGCAGACTCCATCTGTCAGAAACTATTTTGTAAGTTGCAATTGCAAAACAATTTTTATGATGATTTTCAAAAAAATTAAATTCTTTTATGAAGTGTGCACAACTTATGAATTCAATGGCAAATAAAAAATATAGTGTTTTGTCCTTAATTTAAGGTTCTCCCGAGAAAATCATGGTAAGCCTAGGACTTCACACAAAATGTCGGATCTGTGAGCTGACGGGGGATTGTCAAAGCTATCCTGAGTGTGAGTATACTCACAGAGATATGGAGTGTTCGTGTATCTCCCTATACTTAACGAAGAGCTTAAATAAAAATTGTGTATATAGGCAGATTACTAGAAAGCATTTCGAACACTTTCAGAATTAAGGTATAATAAATCAATTCAGAAGACTATAAATAACACGATGATCACGTTTTTACAGGTGACCAGATAAATGGAAGGAGAACCACCACCACCAGCAGTACTGTCACCACACAACCCACCACCACCAGTACTGTCACCACACAACCCACCACCACCGTTAGTAAGTAACCATTGTAATTACATAGATACACTTTATCACAATCTACCATGCTTGTTTTCAAGAACAAACATTTTTCGCATTATAATCTTGTGACCAAACAGCTTTTGGCATTTTCTTACATCTAATTCTCTGTTTGATTTTGTGAATAGATACAGTACCGATGAGGAGAACATGTGTCGCTATTAACTACTATGCCCAGATTATTGGAATGGACAAATGGTGTGAAGACAACTGCGGAACTGCCGCTGACATTAACTGTTACCCAGACGTCTGCCAATGTTCAGGTTTGCCGCCTTTTGTTATATGGACCTTCCATAATAGTCAAAAACTGCCTTTCTATATGTATTTAAAACAGTGTAGAATATTAAACTTTTGAAGCCATTTTAATTTTGCGTTACAGATCCTTCTATGCCGTTGGTACAGAAGTTGGACACAGGTGACGTCACAACATGCAAGGCCATAGGCCAAGTCGCCAACATTCCGGGCATGGACAAATGGTGCACAGATAATTGCCCCACCAACTGTCCAGAAACATACTGCTCATGTGAGTTTGAATTATATTTTATTTCCATTTGAAAATCTGGAAAGACCAGGTCATAAATTTACACAGCACAGTCTGTATGGATCGTTATAATATAAAGCAAGCAAATTCAAGAAATTGCGCCCCCCCCCCTCCGCTTTCGGTGTCTTAATGAAGGGATGCCATTATTTATTGCATATTGTAACTGTCTTATCTGTGCATCATACAAATAAGACATAGACTACATCAAACTTCAAGATCAAGGTCATGAGGTCAAATATGATGCAATCCGGAAGGTCTTGTCAAAAGTAATGCACATGTGGAAAAAAATATATATAAAAAAAACTATATTATACAATTGGAAAGGTTTTGAAACAGGTAATGCACATGTCAACTGTAAACGCCAAATCTTCTCTCAATCAAAAGTTATCAGCAACGTTAAATATTTTGAAAACGAGGTCAAACTTAAAGGTCACGGGGTTAAAAGTCATAGTACATGTACATTTGGAAATGCTTGTCACAGGTAGTGCACGTGTCAAATATAAATGCTCTATCTTCGCTACTTCAAAAGTTAGCAACACTGATGAAATGTTTGAAAAATAGGCCAAACTTGAAGGGCAAGGTCATGGGGTCAAATATCACAAAACATTCGGAAACATTTTGACACAGTTAATGCACTTGTCAAATATGAAAGCCCTATCATATGTCATTTAAAAGTAATCACCAAAGTTATTTTTTTGAAAATAAAGTGAAAAATGAAGGTCAAAGTCATGCGGTCAAAAATCGTAGCATGCCTGGAAACACCTTGTCACAGGTAATGCGCACGTCAAATATGAAAGCCCTTTCTCTTCTCAATCAAAAGTTATGAGCAAAGATATTTTTTTTGAAAAATAGGTAAAACTTCAAGGTCAAGGACATGGGATTAAAAATCATAGTATATTTGGAAAGGTCTTGTCACAGGTATATACATGTGTAATATGAAAGCCCTATCTTTTCTCATTCAAAAGTTTTTGAAAAGTAGGTCAAACTTCAAGGTCACGGGGTCAAAAACCACAGTATACCATAGGTCTTGTCATTGGTAATGTACATGTTCATGTCAAATACGAAAGCCCTATGTCTTCTCATTCAACAATTATTACCAGTGAGATTTAATGTCCCCTCGCTTTCGCGAAAGCAGGGGACAATAAGTGAAAAAAAGGTTAAAACAAATCTAAATAGCCTACTTTAACTCGTCTGTGGTCTTTCATTAGGTTCAGTACAACCCGTTACGCAAGCCCCAACCACCACAAAGAAAACGACGACGACTACAAGAACAACTTCTCCTATAACGACGTCATACAGAACAACAACTGAAGCAGATATTCACTCAGGATCAACAACTAGGTTTACCACTTCTTCACAAACAACATCTTCATCTAGAGGTATTAAAGCAGAAAGGAAATTCCGAATAAAAATCTGAAAATATCACAATGATTAAAAAAAAAAATGAACTTACCCACATTAGAATCTTTTATACAAATGTGTATGCAAAAATCTTCAATTCTCAGATTAACATTCCGATATACAATTCTTTTTTAGGAGCTGATTATTACTCCATAAATGCTATGAACGGGATAATGTGCAACATGTGTAGGAGTGACCCTGATCTTTATAGGGGGTGTTCAGATCGCTTCTGTTCCAGATTTGACAACAGTAAGTCTGTCTGTGTCTGAGTAGTATTTGTGACTATTTTTAGTAAAGCTTTGTAACTTACCTTTAGCTGAATTTTTTTTACTATTTAGAATCCCTATGTTCTTTTTGTGTGTTACAGGTGTTGGCGATCCGGTGGATACAGTTGGTAAGCATGCATAACATGTTTTATAATTTCTATATTTAATTCACCATTTTAGCTTTGAGCTGAAAATAACTGGGTTCAAAATAATTATGCACTTATTCAGAAATTTGCATTCTTTGACATCATTTCAGACCGAGCGCTGAATTATTCACCAGAACTTTTCTGCGGTATCAAGAGCAAGGATTCAATATTCTGTAAGTGTATCTATAGGAACTTTATTCAACAATATTTGTTTAAGCATTTGTCATATCTTGGAAATTATTTTAAAAAATATTTTGGTTATAAATGTCGTAATGCTGTCTTTTAATTTCTATATCAGGCGAACCCGCTCTTATAATCCGCCCCTTTATACTCAGTTCCATGTGTTCCTCTTGTATTTACCTTTCTCCGGATCAAAACTGTAATACCTATTGCAGCAGGTAAGATCCCAGATCAAATTATTCACCTATTATTCCAGGTAAAATGCCAGAACTGTTCACCTATTCTATCAGGTACAACTCTTCAACTATTGTACAAGGTACAATGCCAAAACTGTTCTCCTATTAAATAAAATGCCAAAACTGTTCACGTGTACCAGGTAAAACGCTGGATTTGTTCACCTATTGCACTGGGCTAAATACCAAAACTGTTCATCTATTGTACCAAGTAAAATACCAAAACTGTTCATCTCTTGTACCAAGTAAAATACCAAAACTGTTCTCCAAAATGCCAAAACTGTTTACTTATTGTATCAGGTAAAATGTCAAAACTGTTTACCTATTGTATCAGGTAAAATGCCAAAAACTGTTCACCTACTGTATCAGGAAAAAAATGCCAAATTTGTTCACCTATTGTACTGTGCTAAATTCCAAAACCGTTCATCTATTAAACCAGGTAAAATGCCAAAACGGTTCACCTATTGTGTCGGGTAAAATACCAAAACTGTTCACTTATTGTTCCAGGTAAAACGCCAAAACTGTACACCTATTGTTCCATGTAAAATACCAAAACTGTTTACCTATTGTGTCAGATAACATCACAGATTAAAACTGTTCACCTTTCGTAGGAGATAAAATACTACAACTATCAACTGTTCACCTATTGTAGCAGGCAGGATCCCAGACTTTAGACGATTATGTATAATAGATCACCGATATATGGCTGAAATAATGCCAACACTGCGTTAAACAAAAATCAATCAATCAGTTAATTAATCTATAGCAGGAAGTCACAGGCACGTAGCACTGTTTTTAAAATAAGGGGACAGCCAGAATATAATTGACAAAAAAGTTCTTGAAATAATTTGACAAACAAAAAAAATAAAATAAAAGCAGGTCAAACACAAAAACCCTAAGAACAAAAAGCTGGGGTGGGGCGATGGGGAGAGGGGAGCAAACCTTTCAATGAAAATTTCATTACCTGACTACCATCGGAAAAAAAATGGGGTACGGAAATAGCTCCTCCCCCCCCCCCCCGATGCTTCGTGCCCGTTAGCAAATGTCACATCCATTGGCCCAATCCTTTAACAATTGTTATTGAAGGAAAGTTTGCAAACCAGAACTTTAACACTAATATCAGGTAATACCACGGACCAAAACTGTCATCCCTATGGTAGAGAGTAAGTTCCTGGTGATACTGGGAACATAAGAATCGCCCCATTTAAAGACAGGAAGACGCCATTGCTTACGGCTCTTCAGACAGAGAATAGGATAGAAAAAAAGCTTGAGAGAATATTTTTTATCTGAGTAAAACTAACCTTAAGTTTCTCTCGTTGGTATATAAAAATGGAAACGTCTTATCAATTTTTAATAAATTTGATTTTGTACATTTTTCAGTTCCTGATGAACGAGATGAAAAGCAATGGCCAAGTTAAAAGAAATCCAATTGTTCAGTCACTAATGCATCATGTTGTACGGGTAATGTTCTCCGTGTGAAATACGATGTTTCAAACAGTATTATTATTAATTTGTGTTTGTTGACTTTAAACAGATTTTTCAAGTGTTGTTTTTATTAAACTAATCACTTTGTAAATATTAGTTAGTGCTCTTCTTTTGTCAAAAAATGTATATTTAGTATTTTTTGTTTATGAATATTCAAATGAAAGAGAAAGTTCTCTATTGGGACCTAACACTTACAAAATAGATGTACATTAAATTTGTTTAAATCAAACTTGAATGACGCAGGTAACAATTCTACGTACTTTTCTTGTTTGATGTACAAGCTAATGCTGTTAATAAAGATTAATAAAAATGTCACCGAAGAAATTTGCGAGCATCCTGTTGTTTAAACTTTTTCTAATTTCCTACAAGGATTTCATCCAATACACATTGTTTTCTACACCAAAGTCTTGTGTTTTCTCTTATTTGATATCCAAGACATGATGTAGGCGACAACAAATGTCCTCGTCAATGGACGAGATTTTAGACGATTTATGACACAGAACATGGTTTCACTACATTAAGGAACTCCTAACGTTACACCAAACTCGTGGGTTTCTTTTTAAAGTATTTTAAAATATCTTTAATTAGATTGACATGCAGAATAATGACTTCCTCCAAAGTTGACATTCCTCTGAAAATTCTTTCATATGGTGTATCGTTAAAGGTGAAGTTTCCTTTCTGTATGTCTTATTTTAAGCAGCACGGTAGCTAGCTCTCAGAACGTTGGGAAAATGCAACATAACCCAACCCCCTCCAAAAAAGAAAATTGATAAGCAGAAAAAAATGGATGGCTTCGGATACGGAGTCTTAATCTCTTTTGAGGAAGAGGGGAGGTCTTGATGCTGACAGTAGAAAAATAATTTCGTGAATTTTTTTTTAAAAAGGTGGGAAGGCTATGGCTCTATCGCAACTTTTACGCCCTCGATTCCAAATTGATTCAGAACTAGAAGAATCCTAAATAACAATGTAAAACCATTAATTAAGTTAATTGCAATAAATATTTCATTTTATATTAATTTGAGAAGATCAACGAATTCTTAGAAATTGAACAATATCCTTGAACTTTATATTGTTCGCAGTCTAGCATTTTAAGATGGCTGACACCGGGGTCAAAGTTAATTACGAAGAAGTCAATTACAGTTATATTTTATAATGTATATTTCTTTTTATATTAATTTGGGAAGATCAAAATTCGTAGAAATTGTACAATATCCTTTAATCATATACCGGTATAATACCAGCATTTTAGGATGGCTGAAGCCTGGGTCAAGGTTAATTGGAAAGAAGTTAAATTTTTTTTTACGATAGATTAGTCTGTTGCTGTTGGTGGCCGACTATTATGTTTAAAACCCGTGGAAGAAATTGAAACATTCTTTTTTTTTTTTTTTTTTTTAAAGATTTACATGTATATCTATTTGAATTATGTGAACCAAATTAAATTCGCGTGAAAGAAACATTTGCAAGTTTCGCAATATATTTCTCGCCGCGAACTTTTCATTTTATACAGAATATTTCCTCGGTCGCCAAAGAAGACACAGATTGGTTTTAAACTGACGAGACTCGCGTGCGTTCGTATGAAGCAGTTTCTCACTTGTACGTCTTCACATATAGGTAAAGAATGATGAAAATTGACGAATAAGTACCTCCCATCCCATCCCATCCTCTGGACCAGGAAACTGAGGGGTTTGACAAAAACTCCAAAAATGATGAAATTTTCAAAAGTCATTAGACAATTATGTGTCAAGCTGTATGCATGCTTGAGCCTGGGTCTCGGATTCAGATCACGTGCATGGTAGGACTATAACTTAAGTTATAATGACTATATATTTCATTTTAACCTTCAAATTTTCTTACCTTTAGAAAATAAACTTTGCGGTAAATAATCTTGTTATAATGCTTTTTTTTTTCATGAGCCAAGGGTGAAGAGGTCATGTCCCATTATGCGGTTAATTTTGAAAAAAAATCTTTAAATCTCCAAAAATGAAACTTTTTCTCTACCCAACGACTGATCAAAATATCTTTCCTATATCATATAGAGCTATGTGCTTTCTTCTAAATTCTGAAGTTCATATCTCTTGAATGTAGGTTCCTCACGCAAGGGCTTAAAAAAATATGAAACATACATCCATGCATGTTAAATTAGTACATGTCCCTCCAGGCGGGGGCTCAGCTTGAAAAATACGTAAGACCTGGAAAATTAGCAGAAAAACTGCTACATGTAAAATAATCTGATGAATTTAAAACGCTGTTTCTAAATTTTGAAACTCACTTCCCATAGATAATGGGTTCATGTTTCAGGGTGGGGCTAGGTTTGAAAATCCATTCTTGTTTACTCATTCACATCTAGCAAACAAGCTGTTTGATTTTTTTTTTCTAGAAGTGTAACTTAAAAATGCTGCGTGTGACACTCGGGTGTTTACATGTAGGAGCATCTACATTGTAGGTTCTTTCACCAATTAACATTTTTTTAATTGCCTAATTATTTGCCTTTTCGGTCTAGTTGTCATTTTTTTAAATGCAATGAATTAAATGAATAAATAACCAGTCAAATTAAATTCCGTTAAAATAATTTACTATCTAAGAGTTTAAATTCGCTTCGCAGGTATGTGGTCATGCGAAGTACGTGTAACGATAGATAATGGCTTACATAAGAATTGATTATAAACTTAGAGTCTGGTCATCCTTAATCCCTAAATAAAAGACTATTGGCATTGAGTAATAAAATCTAAACACAGACGGACACTTTTCCCACCCGAGTTTTTGGGCATGAATGTTGATGATACAATCACGTGTTCTTGAAATAAACAATAAATGACATGAACATAAAAGAAATCCAATATCTTAAAGACAAAAAGGAGATCATTTTTTGGTGAAAATAAATGTCAATGTTTGTCCTAAAGATCAATAGTGAAATTTGGAAACAAGGATACTAACTTTACCTATGTATATCCTCCTACCAAAACAGCGGTTTAGTTTATTATAATTAACTTTCAAAATGTCTTGAAATTTTACCTAAACTAAGTTAAGATTATAATGATGAAAGTATGGTTATCATTTAAATTAGTATTACAATATTAGAATACTGTAGTTATGATTTTAAAATTAAAAAGAAATCTTCCTCAAGACAAGTAGAATACTAGAAAAAAGTTCAAAGCGTCATACTTATTTGACAGTCAAGACTATGGGCATTTTTATATTGAGAAAAGGGGGCCCAAGTCTCAATGACTATCAATGAAAGGACCTTCTTTTCGTCCACGTAACCATTTATCTGTCAATCCGTTTGAATTTATTACAGTATTGCTCTAGAAATAGAACGATAGACAACTGTTTTCAGAAATATGTATGCAGCATAGAAAAAGGGCATTTTTGAAGTAACAAAATAAAGAGTGTAGCCGTCAGAAAAGTATGCAATTTTACGATCGTATTTTTCACTGAAAATTTGATTGATTTTTAGGAAAATTTTGAAATATTTCAATAATAAATGTACAGTAACATTTCAGCATGAATCTTTTTCATGTGTGGTACGGTTATGAGTGTGTCTAGAGGTTTGCAAAAATATTTAGTTGTCTGTTTCTTGGCTTATGCAGTTACCGGTAAATATTTTATTTAGAACATGTAGAATAAATATTCTGCAGAAAAACAGATTTGTTTGTCGTCAATTTCTTCCTAAAAAATATGCAAAAAAGAAATCGGTCACCAACAACAATTTGTCAGTCTGAAGACGTAATGCAACAAGAAAATATTTATCATCGAAAAGTAAATGCTCCATCATATTAAAGATAACCTTTGACCTTCTAATTAATTTGAATATTTCTAAATCAGAACTTGGGCGGGACTAAAGAATAAATTTTGACACGATGGCGATACGTTATGAAGAGATGCCATTTCTCTCCTATCAATCATCGGTAATTGGTGTGAAAAACTCATCATCTTTAGATTTTGAAATCATCTTTTCCGCCATGTATTGAACAATGGTAGATATAAACTGAAAACTGGACATTTTGTCGTCTTCTTCACTTATGGATAATATTGACATACGTGCCATTATCTGGCTGAAGTGGATTTTATGGGTTTATAGAAGGAGGCCGTAAATATTTAAATACAAACCTGATCTGATTTTAACATGAACTACCTCAAAGTAAGTCAAACTATTTTTATCTTATTCATACATAATATATTTTTTTGCAATGTTTTAATTATTTTTTTTATTTCTCATTCACACCATCTATTACAATATTTTTAAAGGGAAAAAGTTAACAGGTTGTGTTAAGTTATTATTAATTTATGTTATTATGAATAGTAATTTCACAATCATAATATTTCAAACCATACGTCAAAATTCTTTTAAAGATAATTACTAAAAGAAGTCATAAATTTGACCAGCCTTAATAAATGTTAATGAACTACATCTCTCTATAATTCGCCTGAATGCGCAAACATCAAAAGGCTGCATCACTTAATTCATAAAAAGATACATAAGTTATCTTCGCTAAATGTAAAAATGACAATCAGATCGTGAGTAACATAAATTGCATTCTCCCAGTGTATCCGTTTTGATTTATGAGCGATTAAATATACTTTTAGTTAGACTTGTAATAAGGTAATGCGCGATCGGAATTAATCGGAGTTTGAAATTTATTTAAGTTGCTCTTTATATTGAGCTGAATAGGATTTCTTGTTAACTTAATTTTTGAAATTTAAACTGTATTGTTGTTAATTAGATTGTGTACTCTAAATTTTATTATTGACATTTTTTCTGATCTGATTTTGATTTTAAATTTCTAAATTTTAATCGAGACATATTTTGTGATCTGATAGGTAGAAAGTAACCGACTTGCTCTCTGAAGTATCCAGGTATAATGATTTCAGAGGAACTCACAAGATATGGTAGATTGCATTCTAGTAATTAACAATAAATGCATAACAAAACATCTTGATTTTCTGATTAGATGATAGCACCCTACACCATTTTATACCTTTGATTAAAAGAAAAGAATAAAATAAATTTATAACCCCCCCCCCCCGAAAAAATTGTTTCAATTAGATAAAATAAATACTAGTAATATGAAAAATGACATCAAGTTTGAAACCTTGATAATAAGGTGATCCGTACTTTAAATTGCTACATATTTTCTAATCGTTGAAATATAAATATGTGTCGAAGAAAGCTGTATTTTTAGTGTTATAATGTCGTAAATTTTTATATTACCGGGTGGAAGGCAATAAATACAAATTTTACGACATGATAACTCGTCAGGTGTTAATTTATAAAGTATACACTTTACAAAAGTCTAAATGTGTCGTTTAAGAATATAAATAATTTTTTACGAGAAATTAAAAATAAAAATAAAAAAATGAAATAGAACTTGAGAATATGTCAGATATATTAATCTTTATACACTGACATTTTATTCAGCTACGACATTACAAGCTTCAGTAATAACTATCTAACAGTGCAAATTTTGTATATTCAACCAAATTATTTATTCGATTGTATACAAATATTATGCAGTGCTAAGTATGATAAAATGTCACCATACATCAAATTAATTAGTTAAATCAGTTAATTAATAGGAACAAATTAATGAAGAAGATATCCTATATACAAGACTGCTGGAATCAAATGCAATTATTCTCTTTGTGTGTCAGCTGGCATCAATGCTGTCTGAATAACTATTAGCTAAACAACTGGTACAAAGGAACTGATAACAGACTTTCTCTACAATAAATACAAACTCCATTACACATCGATAGGTCACTGCAACTTGATATTTCCTCGATGAATTTATTTATCCATGAATAAACACTTAACTGAATCATAATTACGGGACAATAGTGTATCGAACGCAACTTTTTTTCCTACAACAGAAAGGGTGTAATGTTAATTTTAATAATGAAGAAAAAACTGTTTATAAGGCCAAATGTCAAAAGACATTCCGTAATTTGCTTAAAGGCGGGGTGATTACGTCATAATAGGAACTATCTCTTGGCTACATATAAGACTTTGTGTAATACTTATATTTCATAGTAGAAAAATTTCTGTCAAGGATTTTTCTGAAATTATTACTCTATAAAATAATCACATTCGTATGAAACGGGTAAAGTTTGACAACGAAAAACTTTGTCTCCATAAAAAAATCTGAAATAGAAAATAGATATACTAACAAAACCAGAAGAATGGAGTATATATATATATATATATATATATATATATATATATATATATATATATATATATATATATATATATATATATATATATATAGTTTTTTTTTTAAATTTCAGACTTTTATCTGTTTTCTGTGGCTGCTTTGTTGTTATATACAGACGACAAAACAGGGTACTGTACCATAGTTGCCTATGCATTGAATTGAAATTTTCTTTTGCATAATTTAAAAAAAAAATTACCTAGAGAATAAAATGTGGAAAAAGGAGGATTTTTGATTTACAGATCATTGTTCTAAATTCAATTAATACTAAGATCATAAATTAATGAGTGTCGTAGAAATATTTATATGTATTTACATTATTTTAGATGCAGAGTTTTGGAATTCCATGGCCCAGGAAAACCTTAAGAAACTTCTTCAGAAGCAGTGGAATACAAATATAGCTAAGAATGTCATCTTATTCGTGGGAGACGGCATGGGTATCCCGACCATAACTGCGGCGCGGATCTACAAAGGGCAGCAACAAAACAAAACAGGGGAGGAATCAAAACTAGTATTCGAAGAATTTCCAGAAGTAGGACTCATAAAGGTATGGGAACATTAAGCATTTATTTGCTAAACGCGTTTGCGAAATTAAGTACCGAATTCATGTATTGTAATGAAAAACTCGTTTTAAAGTACGTTTTCTGTGTAGTACTCTCTACCCAGTTTCATGCAAGTGAAAAATTAAGAAAGCTGTATAACATTCCATCATTGAGGTATTCTCTGTACATTTTATACATGTACTTCATATAATACATGAAAGGGAGGGAAGTAAAAGATAAGGTTTTTTTTCCCACGTAATGTTGAAAACTCCATGATGAACAATTGCAGTGATGACACATGATAACTTGCCTTTCCAGACGTACAGTGTAAATGAACAGGTGCCCGATTCAGCAGGTACAGCCACGGCCTTTCTTTGTGGGGTCAAGGCCAAATCCGGGGTACTAGGATTAGATGATAGGGCCGACGAGGCTAACTGTACAACATCTGTTGGTGCAGAAGTGGATTCAATCTTAAGAATGTCTAAAAAGAAAGGTAAGTAATGTAATTATCAATTATGAAATTTTGATAATTCAATATCGATCTTAGTTCATAGATCCAATATACATATTCAGTAAAACACGCTAATAGTGAACAAGCTTATAATGTATTGACGCTTACAGCGAAGTGATTTTTATTCTCCGTGGCTTTAAAATATACTGTGAACTTAACGGATATAACGAATATAACGAAGCAAGATCATCCGTCCCTGTCACTTCGTTATAAGCGTGTTTTTCTGTACTGTACTAAAATCAATCAACTGAAAGTTTTTTCCTGTTTTTTTTTTACGTTGTTTTCTAGAAAAATATAGTTATATCGACAGAAGAACTGAGACTAAATTCAAAGAAAAACAAACACTTAAGACACCCCCCCCCCAAATAAATAATAATAATAGAAACAAAATCAGTCTATTGTTAAAATGACAGAAAGGATTTTTTTAAATGCTTGTTTTTGTTTTTTTTTTTCAAAATTGAAAAGATGAAGAATACGAAATGGCTCCTAGCTATTTGAAGGGGGCTATATTCTAACACCCACAAGCAGTAATTACTCCAAGATACCTTTTCTAAGCGTATGAAATATTTTAACCTCCGCAAACAAAGCTTGAGGCTTGTGGTGTACATGTATAAAGGCATTTACAATCCTTCTGGTCGGAAACATTTTTCTAGATATCAGTGCTAAACTTTGGGGGTGGGTGGGTGGCGTATTGCAAACAGGCTAATCGCATCTGATCTTGTACACCTGGTATTTTCGGATCTATTTGTCATAAATTGTTTGTTTTCAAGGCTTCGCTATATACCATTTTAGTGACATTTCTTTTGTCCGATGATTTTTTTTTCTGAGAATTGTGTTCGATATTTGTTTTTTCGAAGTTTGTGGAAATAATATGTGAACTTGTGCATTTGGTGTTTTAAGACTAATTTGTCCAAATTTTTAAAAAGTCAGAGCTGATTTATTATTTCCCCGTATATCAATTTATTAAAATTGGGGTCTTCCACTTCCTGAAGGAAGAGTTTTTAAATAATGAGTTTATAATACAGCTGCAAGTGAAGTTTGAGTTTTTATAGTGGAAATACACTGCTCATTCATTTTTCGGTAGATGTAAGTCCATCCTAAACTCAAGACCTCTTCAGAATTTAAATGCCCAGGTCAAAGTCTTGGGATGAGGTTTGGGATGTGTAATGTCCAGGTCATGTATTTTATCTCATACTTGAAAAGAAAAGGTTGATCATGACTTTTACTTAGCCAAGGACATTTTAGCAAGGTCAAAAAGAAAAGTAGCCAATGATTTGTTCCCGAAAAGCCATGCAGACAAGATTAAAGACTCGGGTCCTAGAATTGGGATAACATTCAATATGAGTTTATGATAAGTAAAGTTGTTTACAAAAGTGCAACATGACACAGAAGCATGTTCAGTTAAACAAAGTTAACAAGTAAGGCATCAACTTGAGTAACTTTACAGAATTTCAGGTTATAGAGTTTGTTAGTAAACACAATATGTTTTGAAGACATCAAGCCCATTTTGAAATTGTCAATGTGTAATATTATGAATAATAACTATATGGGGGGAGGGGGGGGCGGGTTTATAAAGTCCGCTAATACAGATTAAATCTTCTTTGGTCCATTAAGTAATCCTCGTTCATCCTTTTTATGTATGTACAAAGTATTTGAAACATCAATTGAAATTAAAATAATGGAAAATAATTAATAGTACAATATTTAGGAAAATCGGCGGGAATAGTCACAACAACACGGTTGACGCATGCAACACCAGGAGCGGCTTATGCACATTCACCAAGTCGTAACTGGGAGGGGTCATACGACACAGAGCAGGAAATGGTGGACCCCCAGTGTACCGACATCGCGTATCAACTCATCATGAACAACTCGGATATAAACGTAAAAAAAAATACAAAAATATATGCATTTTTTAAACATACCTAATTTAACAAAAAACATGCTAATAATGATAATAATATGCATTAGGGCTCTAATTAACCTAGTTTTGCCCTATTTTAAAATTCTCAATTCTTTTAATATTATTCCCACGTTGACAGGTACTAATGGGGGGAGGAAGAAGGTTCTTTTTGTCAGAAAACAAGACAGACCCGGAATCCAACTTCACGTTTCGCCACCAGAGGAAAGACTTGGATCTTGTCGATGTAATTTTTTCTTCGTTCATTGGAGATAAACATACCATACCTGGCTAGCTATCAATGACAATCACTTCTTCACAACAGAATACAGTATATGATAATGAATATATTGTTATTGCTATATCAATGTATTAAAATGAAGTTTTGGCATGGATAATCTTCCTTTTTTAAACAGAGCTCGATTTGCAATTTTTATTATTAATTTTTTTTGACTCAATTTCCCAGGAGTGGCTGAGAGTGAAAGAAGAAGAGAATGTGTCTCACAGTTACGTTTGGAATAACTTGGGATTTAACGCCATTGATCCTGAGACCACAGATTACGTCCTCGGTAATCTTATTCAAAATCTGCGGCAAAATTACTGAAATTCCGGTGCTAGAGAAAAATAATTACATGTAGTTCTTTATTATAATTACATGCATATATGTTCCTGAACTGTTACGAGTTATAACTCCAGAAAAAAATACTGGTTCTTTGAAATTTTTCCCCCGTTAGATTCAATTTATTGCTCCTTAAAAAAAATCCTTATTTTCCTTTTATATATTCTTACTTTAAAAAATTTAAAATAAAATCTTAGCTTCGCCGTATATTTCAGGTTTATTCGACCCGTCCCACATGCAGTACGAATATGAACGTGACCAGGGGCCTTTTGGGGAGCCATCTCTGTCGGAAATGACGAGAAAAGCAGTTGAAATTCTAAGAAAAAACGACAAGGGCTTCTTTCTTCTCGTGGAAGGTAAACTATGTAATGATATTGAATTAGGAAACCGTTTGCCCCATGTCTCATATGAATGAAAATACTTCAGCAATACATGTAACATTACTGACAAGCCAGAGCTCGAGCATCTATAAAATCTTATTTCGCAAATTAAATCCTTTGCACCCGCTGTGCTACACAAAAGTATGAATTCGCTTTTTTGGGTCTAACCTTAAAAGTCAATTAGATTTTGATTAATGTGATGCAGTTACCTTTTATTCCTAGAAGAGTCTCTAAAAGTGACAAGTCAAAAGTATCTCGCCGTGAACCTCTAGCATAAGTAATTACCTCTTTACCTTACAGCAATGACAAAATGTGACCATAGATCTTTGACTCATTCCAAAAATTACTCATGATAAAAAGCAAATTTTATGATTCTAGGTGGGCGTATAGATCATGGCCATCATGCCACACGAGCCGCCATTGCTTTATCAGAGACGGCCATGTTTGACAGCGCTGTGCAGGTTGCCAAAGAAATGACTAATAATGACGACACATTGATAGTCGTAACTGCAGACCATTCCCACGCCTTCATGATAGCTGGATATCCCAGTAGAGGAAATGATATTCTGGGTAAGAAAGTAAAATCTGTGACAGAAAATTCTATTGTTATACCATTGAAAATTGTTTCCTATGTAAATCTATACTAAAAAAAGTGTGGTTTCAAAAACAAAACAAAACCAAAAAAAACAAAACAAAACAAAATCGGATGTCGGACCGCTGAGTGAGATATTGGATCTGTCGATGAGATATTGGACCGCAATCGCAACTTCTCGGGCCTTTCCGACTAGCGGAAAAACAACCTCGAATGTATTACGTAGACGCCATGACAACCCCCTTTTCACAAACATTGAAATAAATGTGGGAAGACCTCTTATCTGTGGAGTATGGAGTTTTTTATTGAATGTAAAAATATTACTTAAAATATACTGTAGAAGGGACTTTCAACTCCGTCTATTCAATACTTAAATAAATAGGAAGCGAGTCCATTTTGTATAAATTTTTAACATCCAGTGATGTTAATACATTCGAGGTTGTTTTTCCGACCTCTGACGGAAAGGCCCGAGATGATGCGATTGATTGGACCGCTATTACGTTTTTTTACGTCACACTGTAGGTGGGATCAGCTATTATCTTTTCAATTATCGCAAACATGGAAACCAAGGCAAGATATGTCAAGATAAAAAGTAAAAGATTAAAAGCAATATGAGCTGCATTTTTGAGAATTTTATTTTGCTGTTAAAATGTGTTATTATAATAAATTTGTATGTAATTTAAACCTTTTTGATCAATATGACAGACATAAAGTGTTCTAACTGTTCCAAAATAAAGGATTCTATACAATCAAGTATATAGTATATAAGAAATCAATATAGTACAGGACGACAATAATGTAATTTTGCTTCAATCAAAGCTTATAAATAGTTCTTCCATCGCAAATATAAACAACAGAAGTTTATTAAGGTTCTTTTTTTTTGTAATTGAAATAATTATTTACAATTTTGCAACAAAAATTTCTGACATCAAAGTTGCAGCTCATATTGCTTTAACAAAACAATTATTGACTGTGTTCTTGGGCAAAATGCGTTTTGTCGATCCCTTGAACCTTTAAACTGTTTGCAAACAGTTAGGTTCTTGGGTCTGATAAAACGCCCATGAACCCTTCCAATAAATGTGTATTATTGTATACAGATAATGTTACATAATATTTCTACGTTTGATTGCTCTTGCTGTTTTAACAGGGACGGTTGATTCTGCTCCTGGGGATGATGGGATGCCGTACACAACCTTAAACTACGGAAATGGCCCCGAACAAAGAAGGAATCTTACGGGGATAGATACCAGTAAGTACATCAATAACTAACACCTCCACAAATACCAGTAATTCAATAACATACTGTCAATAGCTACATGTATCTTACAAAAGGTTCCTACTATTACAATAAACAAGTACATTTAACAACAAATAGCATGATGTTTGAGATACATATTATCAGATCAGTTAAAAAATAAGTCAACCAATTAATATACTTACTCTAGCAATACCAACATCTGATACTACAAAGGTAAAAAGGAAGACAGACAGTATCAACTACAATGTGTAGTAAACATAGTCCTAAAATAAACAAGGTAAACCACACCTAGGATTTAGTTATGTTTTTTTTTACAAGTTTCCTATGGCTCTTTAAATCAAAACTCCCTTTACAGCCTCCTTCAGCTTCCAGCAGTCCGGAGTGGTTCCCATGAGTTCTGAGACTCATGCTGGGGAAGACGTTCCTGTCTACGCTACAGGACCAATGGCACATCTATTTGTGGGAACTCATGAACAAAATTACATTGCGCATGTCCTAGCCTATGCTTCCTGTGTCGGCTCATACCCAGGGCGGTGTGACGTCACACCTTCTTCCGTTACACAGTCTGGTGCTTCTAACACTATGATCTCATTTCTCCTTCTATCTTTGTCATTCAGTCTCTGTTTGCTATGAAATCCAATTTGTTTGAGTTATGTGTATCATAATCTTTATATTTTTGAAATAAAAATTTGTTAAACAAAATGTTCCGAAAAAATTGATCGTTGAAGGTCTTTTCTATATACTGACACGTAATTTCAAGCAAAATGAAAGGGGACACCCGGGTTCGAACCGGGGACCTCTCGATCTGCAGTCGAATGCTCTACCACTGAGCTATATCCCCTATACAACAATGACGGAAGAGATCTACTATTTATCCATTGGCAAGAAACGTAACAGCTGTTCAATATATCTACAACAGTCAGCAAATATACACGTAGTAAAAATAGTTTAAACGTAAGCCGTCTAAAAATAGTACAGTTACTTGACTTTGTTATGCTACTAATAACATCTTGTTTTTTTATTATTATTTTCGGACTGATTTTGGTTGTAAATGGTGCAAATATCAAATTCCTAAAATATTAACCGCTTAGTCTATGGTGTTTAAAACTTTTTCTTTTTCTCGCCATAAGGCATTAATTATTGCGAAATCTTGAAAAACAGTTGATATTAATGTGGCTTAATAACTTAGAAAAAAAGGATGTTTAGAATGCAGTTACAATTAATATATTTTATCTTTATACATGTATATAAAAAGATTTTTGTTTGTTGAAATACATAGGTTCAGAAAAATAATTCCATCATTTTCAACACATATACTTCAATTTATATATACATATATATATCTATCTCTCTCTCTCTCTCTCTCTATATATATATATATATATTAAATGCAAGATATCGTTTGATATCCTTAACAAGGTAAATGAGACCACCAACCCCCTTTATTATATATTAATTTATCTTGATGAACTCCTCGATTTTTCTTCTCTACATACTAGTATCATATATTATACGCCTTACCCCTTTATTCGGGATTCTCCGAGGAGCGTAAATAATAGTTAAAACAACACATGTTAACTTACACAATTCTTTATTTTTTGCATTAACATTGGGTCACTCAGAGATGGCATAAGCCCTTTATTTTGTAAATGAATTAAACCTGTAAAAAAGTATATATTTATTGTAAAAGTGTAATCCAAAACCATCTCATTAACTGATCAAGTCTTTTATGGAATGTCAAATTAACATATATTCAAATATTTGAACTTATGATATCTTCAAATAATTGTACTCATCTTCAAATCAATTGTACCTATCTTCAAATCAATCGTACCTACATATCTCCAAATGGTTTGAAGAATAGGTTTAATTCAATTATACCTTTCTCTAATATGGAACGCCAAATTAACATATACATGTATTCAAATATTTGAACCCATCTTCAAATAATTGAACCTATCTCCAAATGAATTGAAGATAGGTACAATTGAATTAAAGATAGGTCTGAATGAATTAAAGATCAAATCAATTGTATTTATCTTCAAATCTATTGTACCTATCTTCAAATGAATTAAAGATAGGTATAATTGAATTAAACCTATCTTTAATTCATCTGGAAATAGGTACAATTGATTTGAAGATAGGTAAAATTGATATGAAGATACAATTGATTTGAAGATAGGTACAAATGCCATGAATTAAAGATAGGTATAATTGATTTAAAGATAGGTGCAATTGAATTGAAGCTATCTTTAATTATAAAGATACTGACAATAACAATTACTCCCAATAAAAATGCTTTGTGCGGTTGCCTCCATGTTCAATACGCTGTTAGAGTGAGCTTTCATTATTTTCAATAAAACGAAAGGAATTGAACATAGGTATAATTGAATTATACCTAACTTCAAATCCTTTGTGGATATGTTGTTGCCTGACGCCACGTGCGTCAGGCAGTATAAGGATTAATTTTTTCAAGATCCGAAACTAAGCGATCATTCTTAATGAACTAGATTTTCTGGAAGCTGATTTACAGTGGAATTTGTTACCTGCATTTAAACAAATACAGTTTGCAGAAGAAAGAATCATATTACTGATACAAAATAATGTTGCGTTTAATTCCTTCAGTTTTTTTGCATGTACGTGTTTATTCTTTGCGATTCTTTGTACGGACATGTCCGTGTAACATTTTTTCTGCGTTTCTAAACTACTGGATCAGTCCATTTGCCTTCTATATACGAAAGGGGTGACACAATCATTTCGCGCCAAATGTCACATGTAAATTATCTTCGCGCCTTTTTCTTGGATTGTTCTATTCAATGGGTGTGATAACTTCTACGGAAATAAATAACGTTTATTCTTTTAACCCGATTCTTAAGCTTCAGATTTTTTATAACAGTAAATTTTATCTCATTTTTAAAAGAACACATTATACATGGGCAGGCAACACTAAAGCAATGGATTTGCTGTTTATTCTTACTATTTATCCCATGAGTGAACTAGTCCAATCATAACTGAACAAACTCCCTCGACCTAGTACTTAAATGGGACATCCCTTCTTGATTCAGTCTGTTTCCCACATTTTCTTTCAATATAACATTTGTTAATAATGTACTTTACAAGGTTAGGTTTTTGTAAAAAAAAAAAAAAAAAAAAAAAAAAAAAAAGCTTAGAAAGTCAGCCAGTAGCATATTATTTCATGCTTCGTGATGAACAAGGATAGTGACAAGAGTAGGTCAGTACCCATAGAGGAATGGGCTTAACTCCCATAAGGTTCTAAGCGAAGAATCGGCAAAATGAAGAAGACATCATGATCTGTACTAGTTTCATTTCACATAAAAGCACGTTAACGTTATTATAATTATGAGAAAAAGTCCTGAAATCGATTGAAAAGAAAAAACTAAACAATTTTAAAACTGCACATAAAGGTGTATTTAATGCATGTATATGTATATAATAAGACCATCAGCGCGTGAGTTTCTTCCGGGGGGGGGGGGGGGTATTAGTATCTTGTTTTGCTCTAGCTAGAAAGTGTACAGTCCTTTTACTTTGAGTTCTAGAGCAGCATTGAAGCATTTTTGTCACAAACACTTCAAGAAAAGGCAGTTAAAACTGTTCATAATTTACTTCGACGTCGAGAACGACGGAAAACAGACCAGTCTATAAAAAGAGGCCGTCTCATCAATCTATCACTGACCTGCAGAGAAGCGCGTCCTCTAGTAAGAAAGTACATGTAATATGAATTTCTTTAGAATCATCTAACTATTTTTCCCAAAATTATAATCTACGCTAGCGCACTTAGAGTTTCATCCCAACGTAAATTGTCAGCCCGTGGGCTAACTAATAAATGATTGAATAGTGGCATGTCTTAGATATTCTTTAATCTGTAGTATGTGGTTATGAGATTTGAGAAAGTCAATTTTACATCTTGTGTAATGAAGTATCGCAACTATGTCGCTCCTTGATGACGGAAACGTTTAGCACCTCTCTTGCTTAAATTATACGTTCCATGGATATTGATTGATTAGTCAGGCAAGCTTTTTGAAAAGCTGTTACTTGTACTTATCTTCAAATCAATTGTACCTATCTTTAAATCAATTGAACCTATTTTTAAATGAATTGAAAATAGGTATAATTCAATTGAACCTATCTTTAATTGAATTGAAGATAGGTGTAATTCCATTAAAGATAGGTATAATTTATTTGAACCTAGGTTTAATTATTTAGAGATAGGTATAATTATTTACACCTATCTTTAGTTCATTCAGACATATCTTTAATTCAGTTGTACCTATCTTCAATTCATTTTGAGTACAATTATTTGAAGATAGATTCAAATGATATTGTTATTTTGGCGTTCCATATTAAAGAGAATTATAATTCAATTGAACCTATCTGTAATTGAATTGAACCTATCTATAATGGAATTAAAGATAGGTTTAATTCATTTAAACCTAGGTTCAAATATTTAAAGATGGGAGTAATTATTTATACCTATCTTTAATTCATTTAGACCTATCTTTAATTCAATTGTACCTATCTTCAATTTATTTGAAGGTAGGTACAATTATTTGAAGATAGGTACAATTATTTGAAGATATGTTAATTTGACGTTCCGTAGTCTTTTATATCAAACATGAGTCCATACCAGCTAAGGCTGATTGAAATCCCGCGTTGAAGTCACAAGCCACATCGTTGTCTGTGTATACGTCATTTTCATCCGGGCCACCGACCAGCGCCCCCTTCAAAATGTGTGGACTGGGTCCGGGGTTGTTAATATTGTCCCAGCCGCAAGGAGATGATGGAGGATCGGGACATGAACTGCACAGAAATTCCAGATTTACCTTTTACAGGTATGTGCTTATAAGTAACTCTTACAAATGTCATGTTGTAAATTTTGTAATTACTGCCACTCGGTAAGTTCAAAATGACAAGAACCTCACTATTTAACATGGTACGAAATTTTTTAAAAAGTTTACTTTTTTATTTCGTTTTGCTTCACTTAATATTGATTTTAAAGTAAGTTACCTAGCTCTATGGTATGGTTTCTGTGGATAATTTTCTCCATAGCCAATCTGATAGCTCATGTTTTGTTTGTTATCACCCAACATGTAGTTGATTTGTTTCATCGCCCAGATCTTATAGTCATCTCCTCCAATCCCTTCATCAGCCGCCATCAAGGCAACCAAGGCCGCGTTAGCTAGGAATAAAACTTTTTTTTTTAAATACAATTTTGCAAAACAAATTCATATCGGTTTTTCTTCATAAAAAAAAATCTTACACGGTACATGTACTCTGTCTTATAGTTTTCCAATTAAACAAAACAGAGAACCTACCGTTTGCAATGGTCATGTTTTTTTTTAAAAAAGAGAACGGTTTTAAAACCCACATTTCCCAAATTACCCGTGTATCTGAGGGGTCCGTCCCCGGTTCTCCAGGCTAGACCACAAGGAGTCTGTCTTACACCACCTCCAGGCATAAAACTCCTGAGGAAGTCTGTGACATGAGTACTGAATCGTCTATCCCCTACAGCCTTGTACAACATCAGCTTCAATGGGTAATAGATAAAATATTATGACTACCAATTCTTACCTGCGTATCTATGAGATCCCCACTGGTCTCAATTAAAATGAAAATATACCCATGATTAAATGTTGAATTATCATTCAGCAACTTTTAAATCTTCAGCCTCACTCTTTTTTAAACCCTAACAAAGTTTTAATGTTTTACATTTTGTTACGAATTATTGGGTACTGTGAATCTTTGATTTAAGGAAATATGAATCAGGATCTGGGTAAACTAAAATTTTTATTGGAATGACTAAATTATTCAATCCTCGATGATAGTGATTCTTTTCTTCTTCCTTAATAAAAAAAACAGTCCTGATCCCAGACAGCCCCGATTCTTAAATAGTACCGATCCCAATCCCCAACAGTACTAATCCTGATCTCTAACCAGTACTGATCCTGACCACTTACCAGTACCGATTCTGATCGCTAACTACTACCAATTCTGGTCGCTAAGTAGTTCCGGCCTCTATATCTAACCAGTACTGATCCTCTAACCAGTACTGATCCTCTAACCAGTACTGATCCTGATCCCTAACCAGTACTGATCCTGATCCCTAACCAGTACTGATCCTGATCCTAACAAGTACTGATCCTGATCCCTAACAAGTACTGATCCTGATCTCTAACCAGTTCTGATCCTGATCTCTAACCAGTACTGATCCTGTTCCCTAACCAGTACTGATCCTGATCTCTAACCAGTACTGATCCTGATCTCTAACCAGTACTGATCCTGATCTCTAACCAGTACTGATCCTGATCAATTACCAGTACTGATCCTGATCTCTAACCAGTACTGATCCTGATCACTAACCAGTACTGATCCTGATCCCTAACAAATACAGGACCTGATCCCATACAAAAACTCACAGCACACTGGACATTTTTGTCGTCCCAGGAGAAGGCCCAGCTCCTCATTCCAGAATCAAAAAAGGACATAGCGTCTGTAAGGTAAGAAGAATTCTGGGTAGCTTTGAAGAGTTCCATGGCGGCCGTACAGAGCTCGTCGCGATAAGAATGGGACCTATAACATTGGTTCATGTGTGAAAGAACAATTTCAAGCCATTCTTCGTACGAGCTTTGAAAGCATAACACAACAAAAATAGGCATGTCTTTAAAATTAAATACTGCATATTTGAATTCTTGCTCGAAATTCAAATCCTCATTTTTTTTAAAAAGAATGTACTAGTATTTTCTCTGATGAATATGTTTATAAATATATTTTTACCCGTAATATTTATTGGCATCCTGGACAGCTGTGGTGCCGTACATCCCTTGTTTTCTTTTGGCGAATTCATACAGACTCTTTGCTGCCGATAACAGTTTGTGAGAGTATGTGACGTCTAAATAGTTTGTAAATACGTACAGTACAGGATTAGAAACATGTAAAATAATTATTTTTTTGGATTGATGGCCAAAGAGTCACTAAGTTTATGACATACTTCTGTCTTTAAACACGATAGCTCCAGACGCCATGGCTGCGGCAGTTTCCCCAGCAACATCGCTGCACGTGTCGTTAATCGTACATTTATAGGCAGGTCTCCACATCGGTCTAAATTTAGACATATCCTCAGGCCGACCCCAATATCGATGATCCTCTTTTCCATTTCCAATCTTTAATTCAAAGAATGTAAAAATGTAAAGATAATATGAACCCCGTATGACTATTCCCCATTTCTTGTTCTTTACAGGTGCTACACTGCGATTCGTGTAAGACTGCACCAAAATCATTTTGTATCATCTTTAAAGGTTAACCACCTGTGCATAATATTCCTGCGTATTAGGATTCCAGCATTTCAGGAAGTAGTCCAGCGGCCATTTTAACATGTCATACATCATTTCGAGATGACCTGTGGATCGATATGCATCCTTCCACCTCTCCAGACCCCAGGATAAGAAATGAGCAGACGATGCCATGGGAAGGTTAAATTTCACATGATCACCCGCTATTCCAGTTGCAGTATGGAAAAAAAATAATCGCAATAACCTGAGAAACTTAAATTTTTAATTGCAATTGGCATAAGCGCTGATGACATGACCTCCATCTCAGACCCTGTTCCTTTTCGACTTTTTTTTCTTTATTATAACTCATCATTTTATAACATATTTGTGGTCTAATCAATTCCATCAATCCAAAAAATAAAATAGAACATTTTATTAAAATTCCTTTCCCACTTGCAATATATATAAACAATAACGTCACCAACTTCGTCTGCAAGTCCAGAGGCAAAGAGGAAATTTTGACTAATATCTCAAGAAACCATCTAAACGCAAAATCGACAACCCCATGCCGTAGGTTGAACATTAATTTCGTTAACCACTTGCTCAAATAACGGCCACAAGGATCAATGGAAGTGACGAGGTTGCAATTCTAACACATATTCCCCTGTGACCGAAAATGCATGCAAGATACAGTTGTACGAATCTTTATCAAAACCAAAAAATGAAACATTGACATGAACGCTTTCTAGATTTATCACGAAAGTTTAAATGGTGTTTTTAAAAGGCAAAACTCCCAAAAACATGGAGAGATGCATTTGTTTCTATATGTTATAATACTTATGACAATCCATTTTCTTCAGATGTTGAATTTACAAGATCGTTTCAGACTTTCTCCAAATGACGTGTATCTTCGTCAATCTGTTGATTCAAGTTGGATCAGTTAAAAACAGCAACAACAAAAAACTCACATCCTTGTGGAAAAATAATTTGCAGACTAGCTTGGCAACCTTTTTTGTATAATTTTTTAAAATGCTTATTTTAGGATTTTTTTTTCGCATTGATGATATAGATTTTATCACAAATACATGCAATTTATTAAAAGAAGATTTATAAAAATAAATTAAAAGGCCCGGCTATACATGTATCGTTGAGGTAATTGGGTAGGATGGAGACTGTCCTCAGACACCTGGTAAGTAAGCAAACGTGAAAGAAGGTTTGCTAAGATAAGGGTACATTCTGGTAGGACTGTCATTCACTAGTTCAGGATAAGAATGCATGTGGAAAAAATAAGAGATTTTATATGACACCATACAATGATCACCGAAGGTTCACTTATTCGTCTAGTATTTAAAATGTAGTCATAAACGAGGGGAGATTTGACTGTATCAAAATCCATACTACCTATTGTAGCTTTTATGGAAGATCTTTAGCACGAATAATTACACCATTATCTTTGTTTTCATTTTAACTGAAATATAGGCCATTTTGCCCTTATCATACCACTATGATATTATTTTTTTACTATTTAAAAATTAAGCGAGAAGTTTTCATGCATTTATTATATACCGTCATACCACCCGCCAGATAGATCCTCTCCTTTATCACCATGATCATCTACGGCGGAGTCATTTCTCCATGAAATTGGGTTATTCGCCGGAAGTATTCCTGATCTTTGAGTGTCGAAAAATAAAATCGACAAGGAGAGTGCTTCTGAATAGTTGAATCCTGCCATTGTTTCTACAACGATACCTCAGATGAGTTTTCTGGTACCATAGTTTAAAGGTAAAGTTTCTTTGCAAATGAAAATCATTTTTCTGCTTAACTAAATTACATGACATACATATATAGCCACTTATTCTAGTTTCTGAAAAATGCAATTAAACAAAGACAACCAGAACTGGAGAAGGTGTATCCTGGCACTGCTGTTGTGCGAATATCTAACGCAGGAGCAGTGTCAACGGTACAGTGCGGATTGTTGTTTTCCGAGGGCATCCGAATCACGACCTCTACTTCCTGTGGTGGCTTTGTGCTACCATCGGGAAATAGTTCTTCATTTCTGACCGTAAATACAGAATTACCAGAAGTCGCAGTCACCACCGAGGCTGACCAAATCTGAAAATAGAGTTATAGATGTAAATATGTTTTGAAATTGCACGTTTCCTGACAATCCCTATAAGCAAATAAATGAGTTCTCAGATCAAAGAAAAATATATATTATAGGAATTCCATGGGCCACAACGCTCTGAGTCACTTTAGTCCTGCTGTTCTGAAAAACTTTTTTTAAAAAAAATCCCTTTATTCCAATAAAATATATAAACTTCATAATGTGGCCCGACCTTAGCCCCAATGGTTCATAATTAAACTGAACAGAAATCCATATGCGGATGCTTCAATATAACTTAAATGGCCTTGCAGTGAACCGTTCTGGATTTCTAAATGAAATTTTTTCTTTATACATGCATTATGTAAAATTTGATACTTGATTATAGCCCTACCATAATTCCAGTGTTCATAATTTAAATGAAAAAAAACTTGAATTCACATAGATTTTAAAAACATTTTTGCCTATTTATTCTCAAGTTGAATGAACTTGAATCCCCTACACACAAGGATGCAATGTGGCAAGATTGGCCCCGTGGTTCTGGATGTAAGTTTACAGATGACGGACGACACACGACAGACAGACGGACACTCTTTGATCAGAAAAGCTCACATGAGCCTTTGGCTCAGGTGAGCTAAAAATATAAACAGAACAACATTTACGGAACAGAGACTACGGTATATGTACATGTATTTGCATATCTGGTTCATTTTTACTTCAATAGATCCTGTACGTTTAGCTTCAATGAAATCATCGTACCCTGGGAGGGTGTTCATACCTCTAGCTGACCTATATCCCTGTCACAGGAGATAGTAGCCTCCCATCCTTTACCGAGGAGTGACGGTTTAACTATGAAGTAACCATCTATGCCTGTATTCCACTCGTTCCTTAGGTGGAGGGGTTGTGGCGTACCATCTATAAGGATCGCACAGTAAACCAGACACACCCAAAACAACATGCTCTGTGAAATGTATGATATATATGTGCACCAAAATACTCTCCAAAGAACAAGGTATGTATAATACATGTACATGTGCACATAAATCTCCAAAATATGTTATGTGAAAGATACACGTGGAATAAAATGGTATGTAAAAGTATGCATTTATGTTCACAAAACACACTACAATGAACATGGATTTTGAAATACAGGTTGTACTTTATGTACATCATAACGTTACTTAGTACATATTCAAAACAACTTTATGGGCATATGAAATGGAGGTAAGGATGGGTGGATTTGGACCCTCTCTGAGATTCTTGGTGTTGATAATTTTACAGTTTAGATTGAAAAATGGCTGTCTACCCCTTTGTGAACCTATTCTTAAAACAATGATATCAACAAAGCCGCCTTTTTAAGCTTGTCCGAAATTTTTTGGGATGCATTTTTGTTATTGACTGGATATGTACAATGACCCCCCCCCCCCCCCCCACACACACACACAGAGTCTTGAAAATTCCTGATATAAGTATATGTACACTAAACGTACTATAACCGACAATACCAAAGTGGAACGTATCTTTGACTTACAAAATCTTAAGCTACTGAATTACAAGTATATGTACATGTATATAAGTACCCCTATCATCCATTATAAAGTGAAGTTAGTACAATATATTTAGCAAATATAGGTACAAACAAACACCCCCAATAATAAGTTAATAAAATAAGTTCCAACATAGTTTACAAGTAATATTTTTAAAAAGAGCAAACACAAGTTTTTCTCAAATTCTTCAAAAGGACATAGCTAAACACTTTGCAAGGATATCATTTAAACATAGCAATGTTCGTTACAAGGCAACAATTAATAAAACAATTACCTTATTATGATAAAAAGATTCAGTATACAACATGACGTCATCTTACCCTGTGCTGATAAATCTCAGTCAAAATAATGTATCGTGTCCTTGTTATTAACACCAGGTCTTTCATGTTAGATAGTAAAGAGATAAGGAAACAAAAATCAGATGGTTATAGTAGTACATTGTATTTACATTGTACTTAGCGATTTTATATATTTCTTATTTTGAATACAAATATTAATGAAATATAAATGTCGTATCATTTACTTGCTGTGTTCGTGAAGAAAAGTACAGAAGAATCTTTCAAGTCTGATTGATGATTCAGTCTATTATAATTTCTTGATTCACGTTGTTTTTATATACTAGTATGTTAGGAATTCAGTCATAAATTTTTACCGATTGTGTCGACCCCTTACAATGTTTTTGAAATCTGAATCCAAAGGTTACCCAGTTTGTTTCACAGATACTGCTGGTCCTGGAGCTTGATATTAACTGCCTCTTTCATTCTCTCTTAATTGACTTTATCAAGGGCCTTGCCTGGTACTGACGGAACCTTGATTCCCCCCGACAGTTGTTGCTACTTTCCCTCCCAAGGTCTTTTTGGTAGTTTTACAAGGATACCATATTTCCATTCTCGAGAGACCTGTTTCTCTTCCCTGGTCTGGTCTGACGATATAAATAATGGTACAGCTTAGCAGATTCATTACAATAATACGGCAGATTTAGTTTTATCTTGTGTACTGTGTCAGAAGATATTGTACACTCATTCTAGAACAAATGTGGGTTGTGACCCGTGGATATATTTTAAGTTCATTTGACCTCGAAGTCAAATTATTTAGACAAGTCAAGGTCACAAATTATATAGTACTCGTACGCAATTCTTATCTGAACCATAATTGACTGTTCTGTGCCAGAATTTTAGAGGCTCTTTCTTTTAAAACAAAGAAGATTGTTTTTAGAATACGCAAACTTTTTACTTAAGGTCATATGGGACAAATTCAAGGTCTTAGGGGGTAGAGGTATGAAATACTTTCCTCACCTATAATTCTCTAATGCTGGGACCATTAAAGGTTCTTTTTTAGTCGTTTTTATGTAAGTAAAAGTTGAATTTTGTGTGTCTGTGTTGGCATAAATATTACTAAAAGTGACCTTGTGATTGATAAAGATGGAGAAACCTAGAACTTGTATTCTGGGCGATTTGGGATTTGCCGCGCACGGATAGAAAGTTCCCAATCAAAAGGACATAAATGTGCAAATACCTTGGGATAAATTCACAACCCATCTTTTATCAGGAATAGCAGATCAGTGAGAGATGTTTGAGAACATTATTTTGATTTTATTTCATTTGGGGAGGGGGGGGGGCAAAAGAGTTCTATAGAACAACATCAGTAAATAAGTCTAGTGACAAACGTTTCATTATGCATGTCCTGAATTATGTCTAGAGGGACAAAAAAGAATACTAGCAGCTGAAACCCAATAATAAGAAGCCTTGTAATATTCCAAAAATCATCCAGAAGAATTTTACTACGTAAAAAAGGTATACTGTAGTTAACATTCCATGTAAGTCTGTCATGATCTATAATTTATGATTATTACTATTAAGATTTCTGTTTTCCATAATAATTATATATTTAGCACGTTTTATCTAACATAAGATAGTTTGTTATTTAAATTAAAAATAATTATACTTTTCGCAATTTTTAACATTAAACTTTCTGTAATATTTCTGTACTACATACTTTATCTAAAATAAAATTATCTTTATCTAAAATAAAATATAATTTGTGTATAATTGAAAGAAATTATAAATACCTGTTATTAACATTTTATTTTCCGGGTTTCCATCACATTTTTTGTGGTACATGCATCAATTGACATTAAAGAATCAGTAACTAAAATACAGCAAAATGGCTAAAATATCTTCTTTTTTTCGAGCATTAACATTTAAGTCTTTGTATTTCCATAAAATATTTGCATACCACACTTAAGCTTGCATTTGATAGTTTGTAAATAATTAAAGTTATTAGAATTAATTTTCCTTCCCAGTTTTAAGTCTGAGTGATTTATGTGAATTACGCACATTTTGTGATGTTTACTATTCTGGGTTGTGAATGTATCAAAATAAATATGTATAAATTAATAACACTTCCTCAAACATTGGAAATATACAAAAAAATGAATCGGAATCATTTCCAAGCTACTATGAGACCGCTACATACGCGATGATTTATAGGTAATGCACGTGCAGTCCATATTATAGACTGAAGTCAATAAGCCACGCCTTAAAGAAAAGTATATACAGCATATAACCCATATCAAAAAGAAAATTTTAAAAAATATTTTCCGTCTTATTTTGATCGTAAAATGTACATGGCTATGTACACACATTTATTCGTAGTCCAGTCATTTCATGCCAAATGAATCTAAATATAAGAATTACTATTTTTGATAAATCAAGCGGGGGTATAATAATTATGATCCTCAGTTTAAACTCTCTGTGTATCACGTTTTATTGAAATCGGACTAAAACTGTCGCAGGAGTAGAGTCTGAGAGTTTCAAAGAAATTTCTTTATCTAGTAATTTCTTAAAAATGACAATAACTTTCGTCTAAAACAAAAATCAGCAAATATGATTCCTAAAAGGTCTTAGTTTCCTATACGTGTGTACCAATTTTTATTGAATTTGGACAAAAACATGTTGAAGGGATTTCACAAATTTTTAATTTTAGTAATCATGACAATAACGTTCGTAGATTAAAAAAAATATGTATCCTAGCGTTATCTACTTTTGTGGAATTTTTTTTTATTGAAATGGGCTTAAAACTGTAGAAGTAGTTTTTGAAAAAAAAGTCAAGTAAATTTCTAATTTTAGTTACCATGATAACACCATTCGTCGAAACAAAGAACTCATAAGAGGAATGACATGTCTTATTGCATTCAACTTGTGTAATAAGTTTTATTAAAATCGGATAAAAAACTATTGGAGGAATAACATTTTAATGATTTCACAGAAATTCCTGTTTTGTAGCCATGACAACACTGTTCCTCGAAATAAAAATGCTATACATAGATTTATATATTTTGGAATTGTCTACTTGTGTCCCCGGTCTTATTGAAATCCGACTAAAACTGTAGGATAAGTATCATTTTGAAAGAATTTCACTGAAATTTCTATTTTCCGTGAACATGGCAAAATCGTTCGCTTTGACCAAAAACCGATAAATAGATTTATGTATACTAGTTTAATCTACATGTTCTTGTGTAAAAAGTTTTTATTGAAATCGGACTCAAACTGCAAGAGGAAAGGGTGCAGTTTTGAAAGAAATTCGCAGAAATTTCTGTTATAGTAACCGTGGTAACACTTTCAAATTCCGATAAGTAGTCGGCTAATGCCTGCATTGATTGAATGACATTGTGTCATCGTTAAATACCTGCATTGACTGACTGTGTAGTTAGCTAATGCCTGCATTGACTGACTGTGTAGTAAGCCAATGCCTGCATTGACAGACGTAATAATTTAACATACATCAAGCCTGCATTCACTAACGTAGTCATGAAATTCCTGCATTGAGGAATTGAGAAATGTTTATAATCTGCATTTGCATATAGTTGTGCAAGTTGTATGGCATTGCAACAATGCAGGTAAGACGATGGAAAATTTTAAAAATATTTTCAGTAAAAACCTCTCGATCTGGAATTTCAGTAAAATTTGTTTACCAATTCAGCAACATTCTGCTCAAATTTGAAAAGTGAAATTTTATCATTTCAATTTTGTGCTTCAGGACAGTTTTTTGTAAGTTGAAGAATGAGCAATTAATAATCAAACCTTGAAAAGATGATATTTGAATAAAAAAAATAGTTTAGACAAATAAAAAATTAGTTGAGACTCTGTTACATAGAGTTATGAATCCTGGTGTAGTTTACAGCTGAAAACAAGTTTTACTGGAATCAGACACTATTGGTGGAGTAGCATTTTGAACACTTATTTTACAGACAAACCGACGGAGGGCGATGGACACCCTACAATCACACGAGCTCTTCTGGTCTTTGATCAGTAGAACAAATGAACATGTAAAAATACGCATTGTTAAGGTCAGACGATACGTTCCTCAAATATCTGTTTTGTATATCTTCGTAATGTATGAAAAATATTCAAAATTTTAATTACCTTCTGATTTTTAAACCGGGTTCTAATTATCTTTAAAAAACTGAAACACTAAAAAATGTGATATTGGCAAATTTTAAGTTTTTTCCAAAAGGATTTTAAAGGAAACAACATCCTCTGGTATCTTGCACAAATGCCTGGTAAGGTACCTCAATTTTTTGCGAGTAAGCATGTTTAAGTAGCAATACTTCAATGACAAAGTCTTGGAAAAAATTATATATTATTAAGGAACGTATCGTCTGTCCTTAATTGAATCTAAACCAATCAGATTTTAGTATTTAACATGAACATATAATAAATTTGCATTAGCAAGGGAAAAGGTGTATGAATGTATTTAAATTGTTTGGATCATTGGGAAATGGTTACTCATTGTTTCTGGCTAGACATTAATATTGGCTCAATTCATGATCATCAGCTTGTAACCATATCAAAAATAAAACGAAACCGTGTAAACAATAAAGAACAGATTTATTGTCACTGAATTTGATCACACACAGAAGTTCATAATACACCACTAACACTTAGCTGGGGGAGAGTCGGGCAGGCAACCTCGCTTGGCCATACTGGTCAGCGCTGAAAGAGAGAGAAGTGAGCCATTTTGAGAACATATTTCATTGGTAAGAGAGACACAATTGTCAATCGGCTTTAAAAGCAATATTTTACACTTAATAATTATATCCACATAAACTGGAAGTATATCTAATGAAATCAATGTAGGTATGCTAAATCCTCAGATGAAGAGTTCATTGACATATATACTGTAATGTACAGTAATGCTACAACTACTTACCAGCCAAAGCGGACTGGAAGCCGGCGTTGTAATCACATGTGACCTCGTTCTTTGTATAATCTTTCCTGGAGTCTGCGTACTCGTCACCTCTTCCGGGTCCTCCCACCAAAGCTCCTTTCAGTAGTTGAGGACTGGGTCCAGGGTTGTTAAAGTCATTCCAGCTACACCCAGCTGGAGGGTTGGGACAGGAACTGTAATTGAAACCCATTCTTTTAAAAAAATATTCCAATTATACATTAATAAAATCAAAAATACGACAAAAATCAATTGTTTGTAACATATTTTTTTTTTGCCTTTGAGTTTTAAATAATGTGACGTTCTATATTTGGAAGTTTCGAGTCCATTGTTTCCCTACTTCTGGCCCCGTACCTTCCTCGGTGGTGAGGCTGTCTCGGATAGTTACTTCCGTATCCGATCTCATAGCTTATATGATGGTTATTATCACCCAGTATATAATTAATCTGGCTTAGAGCCCACGACTTAAACTGGTCACCTCCAATGCCGTCTTCAGCCGCAGCCAAAGCAACAAAAGCTGCGTTTCCTTTCAAATAAATCAAAAACAGGCTTAATCTTTAGCAAATACTACCAAGACTTAGTTATCTTTCAATTTTCAATTCGATCAAGGTCTAGATCTAATTGACATGTTATTTGCAAAACCGAGACACTTCAATAGTTTGAAGCAGAAACAACTAAATAATGAAGTTAATCATAAACTCAAAATATTATTTCCTATAAAAATAAAAGAGATGCGTGAACCGTTGACAACTGTGATTTAATTAAAATGATTCTTACCTGCGTATCTAAGAGATCCCCACTGGTCCCTCCATGCCAGACCACACGGTGTCTGGGCCACAGAACCACCAGGCATGTAGGATTTCACAAAGGAATCCACTAAGGACTTGTATTTGGCTTCCTTTGTCTCTTCATACAACAGAAGCTGAAATTACAGAATACAGGATCTGACCAAAAAGGTTTTGAAGATTTTATAAGGTTACTTAAAATTAACTTACTCGAATTTGCCCCTCTCATCTCACCTCATTACAGAAACTACATGAATATCAACTGTTCTAGCATGCCCGTCCTTTTAATGCTATAATTCCTATAAAACAACTACAGTGAAGCATGTCTAATCCGGATGTTGTGTATTCCGAAATCTTGTCTAATACGATTGAAACTTAAGTCCCTTTCAGTAATATCAATTGTATGAAATGTTCTCTAATCCGGAATGTTGTTTAATCCGGTCAATTCCTTTGGAACCAGTGATTTCCGGATGTCAAGTTTTACTGCTCCTTGGTACGATTGCACTCATATATTAAGCAATTACTTTGCATCAATTACTAGTACTAGAACATTGAAATACGGGCATTGATTGTCCTATGACATTCCAAAAGTAAAATATTAGAAGTCATAGTATTAATTTATTTCAGATACAAGCGTCACAGCATTCCTCAACTTTGAAATTATGATAGGAACTCACATATTACTTGTTTTAACAATCGCAAAAAAGGTCACGATTGACCATACATATACTGATGGACATCATGTGATGATAAATCCAGAAAAGAAATATGGTTGACGTACCTGGCAAAACACGTGCTCATCGTCCCATGACAGGGCCCAGGCAGTCTCGGTACCCTCGAAGTTGGCTTTGGCGTCTGCTAAATACTTAGGTTCTTTGGTGGCCTTGTACAGTTCCATGGCGGCCACGCACAGCTCATCTTTGTATCCAGTAGATCTGAATTAGGAAGACAGAAGATACATCAATAATATAAACCACACTATACTTAGTTAGTAGGGCTGTTGAAGTATTTGTTTGGATGAGGTTGTATGGAAATTTGAATTTTCGCCAATTTACAAGTAGACACCATGAGTTAATTTATATATCGTTAATCTAATTATTTTTACGAGTTTCAAATCTGGTGATTTATTTCTTAAATTAGAATATCGGTGAGTAACAAATTATATTTTGATGTAAGCAAGTGCAGAAAAATGAGATTTAACTCCTTTGGAAGAATGGTTTGAAATGTTGACACTATCAAGAATATAAATGTCAGTATTATATAAAATGTTTAACACAATGCTTTTCGTTGGAAGTTTGAAAGTTGAACCTTTATGTAGATTTAAAATTTTTTTTTTTTAATTTCTTAAAATTTCTTTTCGGCACGACAACTAGTCAATCAAATACAACATACTGTATGTGTACTTAAAAAAGCGGGCTTCATATTTTAGCGGCTTTTGCGCAGACAACGATGCACTAATTCATGAATACCGCTAAGAAATCATTTATCAATACAATATACAGCACGGACATGTAGCGCTAATTCATGATTTCGCCAACTGCTCCATACCCAGTGATTGCGCTAAATTTTGAATACGCCAATTTATGTACACATACAGTATCCATAGGAGTAAACTGGGAGAAAAAAGTAGTCAATGATCAACAAAGTTTACCCCGTCGATATGATGTGGTCTAACCGAATTACGTATCTTGTATAGCGTCAAAAAAATCTGAGAGAAACTACAGGTATACTGGACATTTTATGGATTATTTCATTTTTTATCAGCAGCAGCAACACCAATCATTGTTCATGCACATGTACAAGATCACCTATTAACCTACCCGTAATATGACGAGGCATCTGAGATAGGTCCCTTGTTGTAGATACCTTTGTGGGTGCTGGCAAATTGGTACAAGCTCTTGGCAGAAGACAACAATCTCTGGGAGTATGAGGGATCTGTTTATGTATAAATTAGATTTAGCATTGCAAGCTAATCATCACGTTAATTACTAATTATGTTTAAGAGTAAGACTCGCATGTACTTCCTTCTTATGTTGCATATTACCGTTATCCATCCTTACCCTTTGACTTGAAGGCTATGGAGCCGACGGCTAGCGCAGCTGCAGTAATGCCTTCTACGTCACTACATCCACCATTACTGGCTGTACACTTGTAGGCAGGTCTGGACATCCTCATGTCTTCTGGACGACCCCAGAAAGCATGATCAGTACCACCATTGCCGACCTAAATTATAAAATAATGCGTTAATTAATAAATAAAATATTTACATTATTTTTTCTGAAAGGATCAATTCAGGAAAGCAAAAGAATTGACTGATTGTAGAGAACAATTCTCAGGAAAAGGTTAAATTTCAATGATTTTGTGTCAGTTGTCGGGAAGTATCACACGTTTTAAATATCATTCCACATTCAGCACGTTATTTCCATAATTTGTATATATCATCAACGACGTGTTTTTATTTTTTCTAGGGAAATGTAATGTGAAATGAACGAATATCAAGAAGGAATTATCGATAAAACTGAACATTACAATTACAATCAATCCTAAAGAAATAAAATCAAAGAATATTTTGAGATAAAAATAAGTCGAAATGCATAGACAATATCATGCCGTATGTGATTGTTCATGGAAAGGTTCCTTCTATCTCTATATACTACGTGTATTGACTAGAACTATAACGATGTATGAGAAATCAGTGAATTACTACATGCATGTCGACCAAAGTTATATAAACCGGAACGGAAATCGATAAGCTTTTTTTCTAGAGATAAAACCAATCCTGGTCCTTTAGGTCTTTTCCTATCCGGAAATGGTTCTTTGTAAAGCCTTTGATGTAACATTTCAAACTAAAAAGCTGCAATGGGACTCAAAGACTCGCAATATACCATTAAGTCCGATCAAGTAGACATGGGATGCCATTTGTTATCAAGTTTTATATTCTTTGATACATTTGTGCAAACTTTATGACGACATTAATAAAACATTTTTCAATGGGAGATATCCCACAGTACTTGAGCATAATATTCCTGAGAGCTTGGTCTCCAGCACTTCATGAAGTAGTCTAGTGGAGTTCTCAACATGTCGTACATGTTTTGGAGCTGATTTGCGGACTCATAACCATCCTTCCATCTGCTTAATCCGTAACCCAGTATATGGGCTGAGGAAGCCATGGGCAAATTAAACTTAACATGGTCTCCAGCTGTTGAAAGAAAACTTTGCATAGTCTATTTATGCAGTTTCTGACTTAACATAAGCTAATATTTAGAACTATTATGGGCATTTTTAGAAATAAACTATGGCAAACTTCAAAGATTTTTTGTGTGTTACAATAAATACAGGACATTTGGCTTCTATATTAAGATATGCTGGACACCATACCGTCATACCACCCTCCTGTGAGATCCACCCCTCCGTCTCCGTGGTCGTTCATGGCAGAATCGTGTCTCCATGGAATAGGATTATTGGCTGGCATTTTCCCCGATCTTTGGGCATCATAGAACAAAATGGACAGACCCAAAGCTTGGCCGTAGTTGTACTTTGTGCTCTTAGCGCCTTAAACATAAAAATTCGATTCCAGATGAAAATAATGACTCTAGATGAAAATTGGGGGTGGGATGGGGGTACTTAAGGTGCAACGATGTTTTAATCAGGACTTCAAAATATACACAAATTTTATAATAAAAAATTAAAATAAATTTACCCGTACTCTTTTGAAAATGTTAAATGAAAATGAAACCTACTTCCACAAGAAGCTCCAGAAGTGACGGTTTCTGGATGGCTGCTTCCATGTGTCGTATGAGATCCACTACCACCTGATGGTGGCTGTGTCGCTGGTGGGCTTGTGGGGGCGGGGGTCTGAGATCCCCCTCCTGAATCTCCTCCCTGTCCCTCGATGAAAACTCGACAGTTTGGTGGTGTGTCTCTTCCAGGGGTTCGTCCCACAATGTCAACATTCAGGGAACTCCCGGCGTTAATATCGGCATCGTAGGGTTTGTTTCTGAGGACGTATTCGGTTTTGTCAGCACTTTTTGATACAATATCCGCTGTCCAGATCTTTTTGCAAAAAGAAAATGATTATTAGTAAAGATTTTGCATACATTGATAAAATTGCAATGCATGATCACATGTTTCAAATGTAACTATAAAAGAGGGAGATTCAGAAAAAATGTTTATCTGTTAAAAAAAAAAAAAAAAAAAAAAAGAATCGGCCAAATTGGAACTTGAAACGTCGAATTTTTTTTAACCACCATTTGGCCGCAAGGGTAAAATTAAAATTCTGAAACCTAATTGCACAATCTATAGAACATCCCAAATCACCTTGCAAAGATGATATGACTACTGTACAATTTTATTTGGAGTTCTGGGAACCAGGTTTTTGTAAAACGTTTTTCAACCCCCATTTGACCGCCCGGGTGATGATGAAAATTCCGAAACCTTACTGCACACATGCAAAACAACCTCAATCATCTTGCAAAAGATGAAAGGGCTAATGTGTAAAATATGATATGAGTTCTGGGAATCAGGATTTTTTTTTTTAGGAAAAACGTTTTTCGACCCCCATTTAACCCACAGGATGAAAATTCTGAAACCTTATTGTACATATGCAAGACACCAGCAATCATCTTCTAAAAGATGATTTGGCTTCTGTGTAAATTGTAAGAGAAGTTGTGAGAATCATATTTTTTAAAAGAAAAAAATCCTTTTTTCGACTCCCATTTGACCCAAAGATGACAATGAAAATTCAAAAACCTTATTTAACATCTACAGGACACCAACAATCATCTTCCAAAAGATGAGTTGGCTACTGCGTAAAATGTAAGAGGAGCTCTGAGAACCAGGTTTTTGAAGGACAACGTCATTTTGACCCCTATGTGCCCCCAGGGTGAAAATGAAAATTCCAAAACCTTATCGCACATTTACGGGGCACTAGCAATCATCTTCAAAAAGATGATAAGGCTACTGCGTAAAATGTTAGAGGAGTATTTTAGGAATCAGGTTTTTGTAGAAAAAACGTCATTTTTACCCCCATTTAGTCCCCAGGGTAAAATTGAAAATTCGAAAACCTTATTGCGCATCTACAGGGCACCACCTAACATATTCCAAAAGACTACTGGATACTGCTTAAAATGAAAAAGGAGTTTGAGGAAGAAGAAAGTGTGACAAACGGATGGACGGACCAGGGTAACAACAATGCACTCTTACTTTCTTTAGAAAGTGTGCATATGATTAAAAACAAAATGTTTATTGAATGACTGACCAAAGACAACTCAACTCTCTACTGACTTCTAGAGGATCTCTACTGACCTCTAGAGAATCTCTACTGACCTCTAGAGAATCTATGGCACTATCACAGGCAAGATGAGCAGTCCAGCCATGAACGGTAGAAGTGGGAACTAGGGTAAAGGTACCAGCAAAGCCGCCACTCCATTTAGATCTGATAGTCATGCCCTGCGTAGCACAATGGGCAAAGCCCACAAGAGCAAGGAATGCCCAAAGACGGAGCATTGTGTCTGTAAAAAATATATTAGCAAAGTTTAAATAAAATTGGTATTTTACAACAATCCTGACATAGACTAAAACAGCCATAGTTTCTATAAATTGTTAACATTTATTTTCTCAAAACCTCTTGTCTATGACATCACAGTCTACGCCATTGCGTTACGGAGAGAAAGCTAGAAGGCGATAGGATCAAAAGAAATTCCAAAGGACTTATAATTCACAGCAAATTTAATGCATGTGTATTGTAGTTGGAATTGGAATTTATTTTACTCGCGAGACAAGAATTTTCCTCGTGCTTGAGTATCGTCTATTTACACCATTTTAGATATTTAATGAAATTTTCCACCAGGTGTATAATGTTCAGGTTCAGGATGCATTGGGTAAATCTAATTAAGAGACAAGTTTGGTCACGCATTTATTTTCGTTTTGGAGGTACATCATATTGTCAAACGAATCCAAAATAAATGCGTCAGGAAAGGTGGCAATCTGTATTTGTGAAATATGAAAAAAACGAGTAGTAATCATGCTCAAAAATCTAATCAAACAATACAAATTGTAAGCAGAGCAAACATTAAGTGGGATCAGATGCCATGAAGGAGTAAGCATCCCCTGTTGACCGGCCACACCCACCGTGTGCCCTCTGGCATGATAGGGTAAACGGAGAAATCCGAAGTCAATTCACTATGAAAATAATGGCCTAACAATTTGTATGAAAGACGTTAGTCAACATTCTACATAACGTCGACATAACGACATATTTTATTTGCTGACAAGGTCATCGTATACTCTTAATGAGATCGTAGATGTCCTTTTAGGATCAACGTGTTTGTCAGTAGCCTGTCTCATTTTAGAAGAATACGTTCTTATGTATCGAATTAACTGGGAGACATAAACTCCATATGCAGGTAATAATGGTATATTGTTACATAAATAATTTAAAGGAAAGTTGACGATAGCAAAGTTGAAGTCATCATGAGTTGTTAGTTTGTTATCAATGTCTTTCTCTACTAAAATACATGTATCCAAATATGAAGCAGATGTGTCAGACATCGTGATGTCGTTTAATTCGATTTCAATGGGATATATCGAATCAACTTATGAATAAAAAATAAATATTGATAAAATGTCCTCGATACATCAACAATCATTCAAATTACAGCGTGTCAGTTTGCTTGATCAAGCGTGCTCAACTTTCACACGTTGATTACCATATTACTCATTGATTGACTGGTTGTTTTTAAAAAAAACTCCATACTACTTTACATAAAAAGCACAGGACCCCCAATTACCACCGAGAGTATCGACCAATCACTTCGAACACGTTGAATGATTGTTTACTACGGTAGAAAACACGTGGACAGTAAAAGCCCGTTTTACTTCCTCTAATCTTACGTGTCATGTTCAATTGTGAATTGTTTCAAGAATCTTAACATAAAAACTAGTAAAGCAACACAAGTACTGGTACGTCGGTGCGATATGCAAGTGATAGATAAAAAATGCATATTACAATACGTTTGATTTCCACTACAAAGCGCTAGTTTCATTTAAATGTTCAAGAAACTCTAACGCTTTCTAATGGGAATCAAATATTGTTAGTAATAAATCAAAATCTTTAGAAGGTCTCTTCCTTGTACTATCTAATCTCAACCAAAATATGACACAAGACGAAAACGGGCTTTGACTGACCACGTTGTTGCTGCTTACTACAAATGCCGTATTCGTAAATAATCAATCAGTGTGATTAGTCAGTATTTTCAGTGGTATTGTAGGATTCTGTGTTTCATTTGCAAAGTAGTATTGATTTCATTGAAATCAAACATCCAATCGATGGGTAATATGGTAATCAATTTTGAAATTTTACTACAATCGATCAAGCAAAATCATTGGAATGATAGTAAACGTCGAAATGAGGCCTCAGCAAGAGATCTCTTCAAGTAGAAGTTCTGCTAATAATAGGGCACAATTATAACCCATGGGAATTCCAACAGATGGTTGGAAAACCTGGTCTCCAAAAACTAAAAGAATATATTTAAAGTGGAACGCTAACATCCTTCTAATATCAACCTCAGAGTACTTGTTTGAAGGTTTAACAAAGTTTGTAGATGACCAATGACAAAATAAGAAAATTTGCGAGTTCCATTCGTTTAAAGAACAGTTATCTATGTTGTCAAAAAGCCTGGTCTTTAATTTATCGTAGGGAATGGTTGAGTAAAGTGTTGAAAAGTCAAACATTTTGATGCTTATGATTTTGGTAAAATTACTTTATTGTGTTTTAAAAGAGGAATTCAGGTTAATTACATGTACTGAGTATGTTGTACTGCGTCTATTAAGATATTAAAACATTATAAATTTGATCTTATGGATCTTTGCAGTATATCTTGAGATGATTTCGCAGAACGCTACCTTTTAGATTATCAGTGCCTGTATAATAAGCGCAGTATATTATGTCAGTATACACAGTATACTTGTATAACGATCTGTGATTTCTATTATACAAGTCAAAAAGTTACTTACTGTAGGACTGATAAGCCTCCAAGTTTAGTTACTAAGCGTTGGGTTCAAAATGAAGGGCAGAGAAAAACTAAGTGAATGCAAACAACAAACAAAGCACATGTTTAGAAATAAATCAAAGATTAAGTAAATCTGATATAAATTAAGTTATACATGTATTACAATGTAAGATTAAATTCAATCAGAAACTTATACAGATCACTATGTAAAGTTAAACTAATTCTAAAATCTTGTAATTTCAGTGAAATATGCTAACTGGTTTTCCTGTAAACAACTATAGAGTACGAGAATATAGGTGGAGAAAACGTAATTGCTGCAAGAGTTTTATTAAAATCCTACCAGGGATTTCTTTCTTCAGTTGAGAAAATTGTACTCACCGCTTATCTGGGTAGTAACTGTAGAAGCCGTCCCAGTTAACTAGTTTTATAGCGTTCAGATAAGGCTTAGACTCCCAATCTGAAAGTCATGGCCTGGAAATCTTCAGGTAAATATTTAGTCTTTAGTTTTCGTAACAAAAGTTAACCCTGCTAGCATTGTACCAAGATACCTTCAAGTTGCAAATAAAAATGGAACCCCAATTTTACTTATTCACGTGCAATATCAAAGCGTGGGACGACAATTTTCTCAAAGTTTGATGTATACCCAAATTTGACCTTTTTGTAACATTGTGCAAACTAGCATTGAGTTTAAAAGTGATGATTTTGCTAAACGTGAAAGAGTAGGATCTCGAACCCAGACAGCACTCAGTTCATACCTGTGTCAACCTTTTGAAATTCAATAAAACATATAAGAGTAATTTTTTTTTATTATATTTTATATTGTAGATTGTCTAACCGGATTCAGAAATCGGACAAAATCTCCTGCATTCTGATATAGAACTGCCGCCGCCTGTAAACTTATCTATTCTTCTTTGGACAAGGGCAGACTCCTTCCAATTCAATCTGAAAATAAGATTTTCATTTATTCTTTTATTTTAATTTTACCTTTAGAAAATGAAGTTGGGATTTTTGAAAGATTTAGAGATCTATTTTTTGTATTTCTAATAATATCCAATGCACGAAAAAAGAGATGTTTTAATTGATGCCCATTCATGTAAGTCACGGGGAATATTTTTATAACTCCATGGAAGAGGCGCACTTTTAAAGAAAATTAAGTACTATTTATAAAAATAAATATGGATATGGATTTTTAACATTATAAATACAAATTTTAAACATATGAAAGATTATTGGGCATTATTCACAGACTTGTTTTCACCGTTATATTTCCGAGAATAGAATTGATGCGCATAAGATGATCGACAGATGCTTTTGTAAGGTTACCATGATTATAATTTACAAATTAAACTTTATTAAACTGTGTTATCAGTTTTACAACTTTCTGAATAAACGCTGAAAATTAAATTTGTCCTTTTTAAAAAAAATTCTGAATCTCCTGTAGTCACCGTATTCACATTTAGAGACATCATAAAATGACCGCCTTTTTATATATTGAAAATTTAAAAATCTCCTATCTGTTGTTAAAGATTTCAGTATTCCAAAAAATTGATGAAATAAAGAAATGGAAGATAAGCCGAGAAGTTTATTCCTTGGAAATGACTATGTTTGGTGAACTTTTGCTGTTATTTACATTAAATGACGACATCATGTATTCTCATCGTCAGTACACATTCATTTGATTTCTTTGCTATTGACTGTCTGTCTGTAACAAAGTATTGTCCGGGCAATAATTCTCGAAATCTTCGTTGAAATGAATTCAAACTTCAGTTAGCCATTGCCATGACCTAAAGTCTCAAGTTCATCAGCACCTAATAAGAAAACCAGAAGGTCATACTTGTATACGTCACTAAGCAATGAGATACTGAAATGGTTCCGGGTTATAACTTCGGAATCTTTTATTGGAATGAATTTAAACTTGGGGCATGTTGTTGCCCATGAGATGATCTTGACGCAAGGTATTATCGAAAGGTCAAGATCATTGGACAAACAATATTAAAATTGTTTCCTACCCCTTGATTGAAATGAAAATTGAGAACTAGAAAGTTGCTGCTGATGACCGATGCTTGTGAAGGTAATACCAAAATACCAATTAGATATTGGAAGGTTTGAACCCCTCGCTCTTCCCCAATTATTTTATGCCATCATTATATGACCTTCACCTCAGGAACTTGAATCATTCTATAAAAATCTCTATTTCAACAGATCACAACAAAGAAATTGAATATATTTTAATTAACAGTTCATAGTTAGTGATCTAATAAAATTTGTATGATAAATTCCTAATTTTCTTGCTAGGTGACCTTGATCTTTGCGATAAGACCTTCATACAAATCTAACAGTAGTAAGCTTTCAGTAGGTGGTAACATATTAATGCCACGCTATCTAACAGTGAAATAGACTGTATAACGCCACACCGAACTACCTAACAGTAAAATAGACTGTATATTTTCATAATTATATATGGGTTAGCAGAGCAAAGTCGGTAAATTTCACCGAGTTGGTACAAAAATTGTTTCCTATAATCAAAGGGTTAACCTTACGTCATCTTATTATTGGTCACCAGGACCTGAAACTCCATGTTTAATATCAAGTTCATCAAGGGTTCCATATAGTAAATGTCCAAAATCTATTTCAGTGTCTCATTCCTTGTCATTAGCTATTGTAAGATGATCAAGACACACATTTAAAAACAAAAACAAACTGGAGTTTCTTAATCAATTCCAATCAAGGGTTCGAGAGTAATGGCCCGTACATGACTTTGTGAAAAAATATGTGGATAATTTTACGTTACATACATGTAATTTGTATCTTTTTTTTTAGTAAAGGCACAAACAAGAATGAATTGGATGATACCGGATATAATATATCTCTCTTTAAAGCCGATACATGGTAAGACTTGCATTATAGACTCAACCATACGTTTTTGCAAGCCGTATGACTCTCATGTCCACAAGCTAAGGCAAGCTTTACCAGAGAACAGTTTTACAATTGAACAGATACTCTGTAGATACAATTTATTATCTCATTTGAAATTACTTTGTATTCATTTTAATCTACGCATGTGTATTGTTTGATAAAAATACAGAATGTAGATTTACTTTTGTGTGAATGGTTTTCATTGGATAAGAAAAAGGTCGATATCGAACAGTAATCTACCGGTATTTAAAATATCCTACAAACAATACAAACAGGGTATAAAAGACGAATCCTGGAAATTCCAGTGGTGGGATTAGGTGCGTAGGAGTAGTAAGCATCCGTGGTCGACCGGTCACTCCCGCCGTGGGCCCTGTGTATGGATCAGGTAGACGATGTACTTAGTAGTCAGATTTAGTATAAAAACAAAGGCCTAACAATTTGTATGATATATGTGTTAAAATACGACCAAATGATAGGTTGTGTTTGCTAACAGTGTCATTATAACGACCATAGAATTTACGAAATGCTTACTTTAACTAGATTGTGTGAAATCCCCGTAACATTAACTTATTTGTCAGTAGCCTGCCTTGGTTTAAATAACTCACCGTTTTCAGAGCATACCCTTGAGTATCGAATACGTTTGGGGACTTAAACACCATACGCAAGTGATAGTGGAATATAACAACAAAAATAAGGTAAATTGACGATTAAAAAGCTGAAGTCATTTCGTTTGTCACACATTTTAGTTGTTATTATCGTCCATATTCAATAAAACATTCAAATATAAAACAGATGTGGCAGACTTTGTGGTGTCTATTATTTCGAGTTCACTGGAATATACTGAGTCGACATATGAATGGAAGTAACATTTGTTAATTGTCAGCAGTCACCAGTGTATCTGAAATTCTGAATGTCGAGTTGAAGGCCACGGTAAGTATTTTCTTCTTCTCATTTAGAAGTTTTTGAAAAAATTCTGCAGCATAGGTATATTAAAAAAGGTCGACTAATAAAGAGCACGATTACTGCCCATCGCAATTTCAACTGATTGCTGAAAGACCTGGACTCCGAAGAACTACATAGATGTTATCAATGAGGAACTCCAGCATCCTTTTAATAATTCAACCTCTGATCTGAGAAAGTGTGTATAGAATCAGTGATTTTTACAAAATTAATTTATAGATTACCAATCAAAGAACATGAAATTTACGAATTCTATTTTTATTTAAGAGGCAGTTGTATAAAGGATAGGGGAAATATAATAGGTTCCTTTAACAGAGATTTCCTTCTAAACAAGTTTTACTAATGTATAGAAATACTGTATAAGCAGAATTTTTAGCGAGGATTTAATTTTTGCATTATTAGCGAGGGTGTTGATATCAAAAAGCCTAGTTTTTTTTAATTTATCTTAAGGAATTGTTATATAAAGTGTAGAAAAGTCGTACGCTTTGAAGTTACTGACATTTGAAAAAAAAAATGTGATTTTAAATTTTCTAAAAGTTCTTTGAAGTTTTGAGAAATCAGATTTGATTTATACCACTTTTCAAATATGTTGTATGCTGTAGCACAGTACGATTGAAGTTTCTCCTTTACAGCAGTTAATTTTTTTGTTAAGAATAAAGATAGGGGCTTGGTAGAGCATTTGCTAGACGCGGCAATGTATCTCTGTTTGTAATAATGTTTATGAAGTTCAGGAATCCAGAATAGGTAGGATAAGTCAAACTCATTTTCGTTGATTGGGATGTTGAAAGTATTAAAGACTGAAACGTGATTTTGAAGAATTCATCTTTAGAAAATGAACTGTAAGTATAAGTTGGATGTAGAAAGTTCTTCTAAATTACAGTTGTAATATTCACAAAGATGACATTGTTTTAAGTCATATTGTTCACTGAGTCTTTTTATGCCCCCGGATCGAAAGATCCCGGGGTATATTGTCTTTGTCCTATCTGTCTGTTTGTCTGTTTATCTGTTTGTCTGTCTGTCTGTTGTCAATTTTAACCTTGCCCATAACTTTTGATTGGTTGGAGCTATGACTTTCATATTTCACATGTGTATTCCTTGTGACAAGACCTTTCTTTGGATACCATCATACTTGACCTTTTGACCTTGACCTTGGAGTTTGACCCACTTTTGCAAAATTTTATGAGACTTTAACCTTGGCCATAACTTCTGAACAGTTGGTGCTTGGGGTTTCAAACTTCACATGTGTATTCTTTGTGACAAGGCCTTCTTTTGGATACCAACAACTTTGACCTTGACCTAGGAGTTTGACCTACTTTTGAAAAACTTTAACCTTGGCCATAACTTTTGAATGGTTGGAGCTAGGGCTTTCATACTTCACATATGTAATCCTTGCGACAAGACCTTCCTTTGGATACCAACCATCACTTTGACCTTTTGACCTTGACCTAGGAGTTTGACCTACTTTTGAAAAACTTTAACCTTGGCCATAACTTTTGAATGGTTGGAGCAAGGGCTTTCATAC